TGACAAAAACACTCAGCAGAATTACAACGCAGCCTTTCACAGAATTTTTTAACGTGTTGGTCTACGTTCTGTTTGGCCGAGCTTTACACTCAGAGGTGAGCGAATAAATACCGTTATTTTTTTCAGATTCAAATGTTTTTATTTTAAGCACACTCACAGCACCTGCGATTGAGAGGAAGCGGTTTTGTATTCCCTATCTCGCCCGGAGAGACAACGTGTGTGCTGAAGCTGAGGACGGGCAGGGCTTCAAAGGAGTTTAGTGACCATTGCTCTGTGCCCCATCTGCGGTGAGGGATCGGGGAACGACCTGATGGACGAGCCCTTGTTCCTCAAACTATTACATGATCCACTATAAAACCTCATCCTCAAATTAGACTGGGTCATACTTTCCAGAGATGACCAAGATGACTGCTAGTACTGCTGTCTCTTCTGTTATGTAGCTGAAGACACGAAAACGATTCCAGTCTCGGAAAAGGTTTCAGCTGCCAAGGGAAACACCCTAGGCTTATTCATCCCATTTTATTAACGGGCTGACCAGATGCAGCCTTGCTATCAACTCGAGAGAGCTATTAGGGTAAATTCCTGCCTGCTCTAACTCAGCTGTACCTAATGGCACAGCAAGAGCCAGAGCAGGAGGGCCCCCGCGGTGTAATCGCGGCCGGGAACCCGCCTGCCGCTCGGCAGCGTTAACGCAGCACCGGAGATGTATTGCTACCAGCAGCATAGCACCTAAGGACAATAACAAATTGTTCAACAAAAAGCAGTAGCTGGCCACTGAATAGCTACTTAAACTGTAATCTGTTTTTCATCTGTTCTCAGTCCTCCAGTTTTGCTCCCTTTAGGTTAAGGGATGGATCCCCAACGAGACATAACACGGTTTTGTTTTTCAGCTTCCAGTCCTGCAGGCACTATCAGGACTTTCCAACCTCAACTTGAAGCCAAAACCAGTTAATTTTCCTGTTAATGATCAGTTGTCAGACAATGGCACAACCAATGCTAGAGATGTGCTGACAGTGTATAGCCTTTATAAACATAATTTTTAATTGGCTAACTGGTGTCTTTCTGCATACATTTCTCACAGTTGTGACCTTAGAAAATAGTTGTACGTCCCTCCTTCCTTACATTTATGCATGAAACCAATTAATTTGTGAGAACTTAGATGCAAGATGTAGCATAAAATGTCCTTCCACTGAAGCGTCCTCAACTAGACGGGTGACTCGGAGTTAGTGGCGAGAGGGTTCCCTGGGAGCGGTGCTCCCTTGAGTGCTCATTACTGTGTGCACTAGCTCTAATGTCAGCCTTTCAGCTGAAACAAACAGATTTCAGTCTGCTGGGGCACTTCAGACTGAGAGAGGTTTTGGCTCTCGAGGTAAATTAGCTGAGAGCGAGCACACACCTTTAGGTAGCAGAAGTATAACCAATTCAGAGAGCATGTAACGCTATTTAAAAATACTACTTTGCTGTCATTGCAGAGAGTGCACTAGGGTGTTTTTTCAGGTCCAAGCAGAGCTGAGGTGGATCTGGAGGGTTTCTGAGTGTAATTGCACCTATACAGTGATGAAAACATCGTTTTACCGGGTCTGTAAGTTCTTGCGTGTTCATGTGAAGGAAGACTTAAAAGAAGGACCGACAGAAGCCTGGAGCTTCAGTGCTTGCTAAGTACCTAATTCTTATTGATATCAGCAGTGGTGTATGCACAATATCACAGAGGATTTACAGCTACTCTAAGTGGTAATATTAAAAGCAAAAAAGCCAGAATCTAGCGTAATTGGACTAGGCAACGTTGTGGGTATGGGAGGAGAGACACATCTACCTGGCACAGCAGGGCAGGCACGGTCCGTCCAAATGTTTTTCACATCCACAGATTAGAAACCATTTTGACCCATAGCTCTTCTGTATATGAATGTGCCAAAAGGGCCCAAACCTGAGCCAAGCAGTAATATGAAAGCCAGTCAACACATAGACTCTCAGGACGCCTCTTCCCCCCTCCCCAGATCTGTGGGCTGTGCACAATGCTGGGATGTAACAAGCAGAGGAGAAGCAACCGTTAAGGGGGAGGCCTTTCTGGCTGACAATTAGCATAACAAGCAGCAGACCTAACACATCTGCCATCTGGCCACCGTTGAGTGTTATGTAAAATAGTAAGTCATGAGGAAATTAATTTGTTAGTGGTAAATTATGTTATATTGAATTAGCAAACTGCATTTGATAATGCTGCACGCCAATGACAAAACCTTGCTCCTGCAACATGAGCTCCTGCGTTTCCTTCTAAGACGCATAAAAGCACCCATTCTTTCTCATTGCCTATTTTTCTAGTCTTTATTATCTTCAAGCTGTATTAGTCATGTTACCTCAAAGTTTACCTGATGTGGCTGCACAATTCCCTTGTTACTTCTCTTGAACATTTTCTGTCTACCACATATTGACCTTCAGATTCACCTGCACCATCCCTCTTCTTTCCATATTCCTTCCTCAGATAAATCAGTATATGACCAGTTCCTGCTACCCATGCCCTGCCTGCCTTTCATTCCATAACCAGGTTGTCCACATCGCCCTCCCTCTTTTTAATGAATTCACCTTCAATGTTTAGCTTCATTTCGTCAAATCGATTGGAAAAGATACTCTTCCCAAATCCTGAATAGACCAACTTCCTCCAGTCCTTTGGCTAGGCACCAGCTAAATTTCCAGGACCTTTATCTTGTCCTGGGAGGTCACGTCCCCAGAGCAGCTTCTTCTAGAGAGTCCCAGACTTGTGAGCCATTAAAAACAAGCTTATTCCAGCCTGGGGATCTGTTGGTCACAGGGAACCGATAGCTAGTAACTCTCACGGGGGAGCGGGAAGCCCAGGAAAGCCACAGCCTAATTCTGTGGCTTTTTCCTTTGCAGCCAGACGTGTGCTGGTGCTGAACTTGCTGGGTAGAGTATCTGCGCTAATCCGCAGCTGACTGAGTGTGCGACAGCCATTCAGAAGGAAACAAGGGAGAATCTTTAATCTGTGGATTATCTGGGGTTTTAGATAAGAGGATCTCGAAGACCATGAAAATCTTCAATACATTTCTTCATCTGCAACAATAGATCAGATTTCTTTTCCTACCCCGCTTAACCTATTTCCTTGATAGGCTCAGCTTCTTATTCCTGCCGCATTCTCTTACAGCCTCCAAATGTTTTGCCCAGGAGGAAGGGCTGATTCGAAGGAAATATGCAACTGCCGAGTAATAGCCCCCTGCAACAAACTTTAGAAGAGTGGCCAGAGATTCATGTACTGCTGAATAAAACTTCTATGTAGCTTTTAGAAAGTTTTTATTATTATTATTTATGTAGCTATTAGAAAGTTCCAGAAACTTTCAGTCACATAATTCAGCACTGATGCAGCCAAGGTGCCAGCTTCCCAGATATAAAGACAAGTACCTTTTTTTTTTTCAAATTAAATTAATTTATTCCTTCCTGCATGAGTCTGTTTTTCCTGTGGGGAACAGAAGGTAGCTAGAGCAACTGAGAAGCAAATAGGAAAACAGCCTTTGCCTATAAATTAGTTACCACTGGCTCCTCTGTTCCCAAATGGCCATAGGCTGCCTGTGGGTCAGGAGGAAATACAGCAATTTGGGATTATGCATGGATAAAACAGAGTTATCCTCATAAGCTGATGATATATCATCATATATTACAATTTGTGGATATGGATTTGGAGTGGGATTGAGGAGGCAAGGTTCAGCATATCTGGCAAATAATTTACAACGTAAAATGATTGTCTTTATTGAAGAATATCTCCATCTAGACAGGAGAATTAGGACAAATAAACCCTGAGGATTTATAGGCTACCACCGCAATCAGCTTTGCAAGAGGAGGCAGTGGACTGGTTTTCATCTGCTTCCTGGATACTGGGCTATTAAACTACACGGTGAGAATTACAAAATATTTTCGGTGTGTTGCTACTGCCTTCCTTTGAAATGACCACACGCAAATGTAGCTCACCGGCCAGTTAGCCGCATCTTGTGCACAGCTAGGAGCATTTCGGCTCTGTGTCACTGCCAGGGCCACATTTGGGGATGGCCAGCTGTAACGGGGTCTACTGGAAAGAGCTGCTCTTACGAGTCTACACCGTACCTGCAATAAACTGCACTGAGGAAGACCCGCAGCACCACGAAAAGCATCACCCAGGATTGCCTCCTGGCAGTGTTTGCCATGTCTGGTTGAAGGGAGCAGTAGATCCCAAGGCTTTGTTGCCAAACGTGTATTTGTGGTGGGTGGCAAAGGGGGAGGATACTCTTGCAGTTGAAGGACTGAAACATCTCCCTGAGGGCTATCAGCTGAGCCCCACTGCCACAGTGTGAACTTGCTGCTTTAGGAAGGAGTTCTCCACTGCCCTTTGCAGCTCTGCGCTCTTTCAGGTTAGCAGCTGGCTGTAAAGATCAGCACATGATAAGGAAGGACATCTTCTGCAAAGTGTAACTGGGAAATCACAGACTTTAAGTCCGCTTGCAATAAAAGATAATGTGTGAATGGTGTACGGTAAAGTTGTTAAAATGCTCGTGTTCCAAACTGCTGTGCCTTCTAGGGACAGAGAGAAGCACAGCTGGTAAGAAAAATAATGGTATTGCTGATAAGGCTTTGGTTTGGGTTTCTGGGGACAAGTTCTCTGATGTCTCTGCTTATGGTAATTTTTACTGCTGTTACGTGGAAGGAAAGGCAGGTGTTTTACAGGGAGGGACACTTCACTATAGGTTGTGAAGCTACCCAGACTTAAGACAGGAAGAAAGAAGAAAACTGTTGGGGCCATTTAAAAGCAGGCACTGCTCAGCCCTACCCTGGAAATGCTGGGGGAAGTGGTGGAAGGAGTTCTCTTTTGCAGACATGGGGGAGGAAAAAATGTGGGCAAAGCAAACGCTGCTTGCTGCACCACAGGGAAACAGTTTCCTTTCTTTTGAAAAACATGATGCTTTGGCTCCACAGAACAGGAATACTGAAACCAAGATGAGCCACAAACACGATACTCCATAAAATAATTTTAAAAATCTTTTTAATGAAGAAATAATTCCATTCCAAAATATAGACACACAATTAAATAGTTTAATCACTTCAAAATATAACATGTCCCCAGTAGGTTCCAACACACACACACAAAACAATACTTAACAGCAATACAAAAAACCCATACAATAGCAGTTCTGTTACACTACCAATGAATATTGTGACATCTTTTGTGTCTCTGTATCTGTCTCAAGTGGTGTCAAGTACAGTAGTTTTAAAAATGTCTTACAGTTAGTAGCCTCAAGATGTAACTCTGCATACGTTTTTTTTTTTTGGTTCAAAGGTAAAAATGCCCTTTGTCTTCAGGACACAGTGGAGTGCTTGTTGTTCACAGCTCCGTCTGCTGAATTGAACCAATGTGATTACAGCAACCTGAAGTTGCAATATTTACAAGGTCTATCTACAGTAATTGCCAAGAACCAATAAGGATGGGAGAAGATGACCAAAAGTAAAAGCAGACACATTTATGATAAATTATGATGCAACAATTTGGCTCATGCATATAAGAAAATACATATTATATCACAACAAAGGCCACACACCTTTTTATGCAGTTTAGTTAACATTACTACTTACAGACAATCCATTCTCCACCTTCGCTTTGGACTTTCAAGAACCCTATACATCTTCACATCCCTGTCTCCTGATTCCAAACCACTGATTTCCCTCCAGTGACAGTAAACCACCCGGAGTTTTGACTGCTATGGTGAGCCATTTGTAGTTAAGAAAAGGCCTGCCAGGGACCTCTTCTGCAACTGTTTTAATGACTACAAACCACAACCAAAATAACATGCAACAACCAGACAAAGACCAGCTGGGCTAAAATGTAGCCAGCTTAACAGTTGGAAAATGCTTAAAATAGATATCTGGAGAGCTGAGTAAGAGGTGCTTCATCTCAGAGCTGCAGGGCATAAGGGACCTAGATCTTTGCTGGGAAGTACCTTGTTGACATCAGCCTGAGAGAAAGGCGTGTGATTTGTCAACTTTTTTCATTGCTCCTAGTCCGAAAGCCCTTGCAATGGATTTACTCCGTTGCATCTATTTTAAGTATAGCGCCAATGAGCATACAGACATTAGGATGATGGAAGGGAGTCATTCCTTTGGGTACAGTTAAACATGAAATGGGTTGAATTAGTCAGCCTCTGCGTGTAGCTGTGTTCTATCTTTTTTTTTTTTTTTAATCTTTGTTTGGGAAATGCTTGACTGGAATCCTGAGCTGACAGCAACATCTACGACTTCACTGTAGCAGTTTTAATGTGGAGTGCTAGGCACTAGTGGAGGCTCACCCATTCCTGAAAGGAGGTTGTTGGAGAGGGCATCAGAGGATACAGCGCCTGCCTTGCCAGGATGGCACATACCGCAGAAGCAAAGACCAGTGATTGCAAGAATGAAAAGCTCACATGAAGATATGTGGATGCTTTAGTATCAATTTGGATGTCTGAGACCATGCCCAGATATGCATGGCGATACGGACAAGAGATCTGTTCAATTAATAATATACAATATGAAAGTGAAAAATGGTAGCTCTTTCATACAGATAGTCATCCTCTAACACAGAGTGCCCAGGGACACAGCCAAGAGAATGCATGCAAACGGCAAGTGAATTGACTGGGTTGAGGTACGTAGCAATCTAATGTAAATATGGCAGCACACATCCTAAGATGTAACCATGAAGCAGAGGACAGACCAGCATATTTTAACCTGCTTTAGATGAGCATATCATCACTTGCTGTGGGCAGACTGTGCTGGTAGAATATCTGTAAGAAGCGCTAGTGTTTTCAGGACTGCTAGACAGTGTCACTTCAGATCAGCCAGATACTGGAAACGGTAATATTATGTTAGCATAGTAATATTACCTTAGTACAGAGGTGGTCCCAAGGTAATACCCTGCTGTAATCTTAATTTCAAAGCAATATCCTGTGTGGAGGCTGTTCCAGCTATTTTGTGTCAATCTCTGCTCAGAACTACCGGTAGATTTGTAGTAGCAGCAGAGCAAACACCTTTTAGCTAGTAGGCTCACTTCAAAATCCAAAATGGTCAGATTAGTCCACTTTCTCCAGAAATTCTGTTATGCTCAAAAGTTACTAAAATGGACAAAACTCTAATTCTGTAACTGTATGCCTGTTCTTTCAAAAAAATCCACTGCTTTTCTTGTGCTTTTCACTGACAGCTAATTCTCCATCCAGCTCTGAAAGAGAGTCTCACCACACATTTCCAAGAGTGCATGCAGAACATCTGGTGGCTGGCTAAGGCAATACACATTCAGAAATAAAAAGAAAATAGTTGCAAGCGCACTTTAAGCCTGTACATTTAAAGCTGAAGGCCTCAAAAATAACATAATGAAGTGGGGAGTCAGAGGGGCAGGGGAACGGAAAGAGCCGATTTGTTGAACACATGCTTACTAAAGCTAAAACATCAATGAAACAATACAATGGAAGATTATACATAACATCAGTCAGTTCAGGGATCTTATGGCACCTGTGGTTTATAAACAGCTTTAGCAACGAGTATTTCAAAACATAGTTCACAGTTTTAAGAAGATCTGTACTGATTTAAAAACTAGATTCTATATCATTTGAATGTCACCTTTTGTATATGATATCTATTTGGAAAAAAAAATATTTACACTAACTTCTATGGCTGATTTGTTAGATTATTTTGAAAGAAAACATTCCTAAGTTACACTTTAGCCCTAAATTAGAGAGGCTTTTTATTATTATTAATAATTATATTATTATTATTTTAGCACATTTTGTATAAGTCTATTAAAAGACTTGCAAACAAATTGCAAATATAGTCTGGTTCTTTGTTTTTGGGCTACTAGATATATACACTCAGGAGCATAATCATTCAGTGTTAAATGCATAATTGTAGCTTTTTATCTTTTCTGTGGAAAAAATGTACAGTGTATAGTAAACTGATCTACTAAAATCTCAAAGTATTCAGAAATCAATTTTCTATCTATAAACAGTATTGTCATTGTAAACTGAACAGGTTCAATATCATGTGCAAAGGGTTTATGTGAGTTATTAATACTGCTATGATTTGTAACAGCAGTACATACTTCAGTCTGTTCTTCATCGGTAATGAGCCATGTTACAGCAGATGTAGCTAATACAAGTTAGCTTTAAACAAAAGTCTTTTTGTCAAAACACACATCTACAAACTACAACTCTTAGAACAAAAGTACTGTGCTACAGTCCTCAGAACTTAGTTATTTGAATTTTTTGTCAAGAGACGCTGCACCTGTTGGTTCCACTCTTCTGCGAAGTTTGCGGCTAAGTTTTCTTCATCATCTGTCCGAAAGCAGCTCTCCTCATCATCAGTTCTTACGTAGCTCTCGTTGTCCGTCTGACTGCAGCTTGCCTGTTGAAAAACGTTGAGGGAAACTTTTAACTAAGAGTGCTGGTTTAAGACACTGCAACTATGTGCACATACACACACTGGTAGAACAAGTAAAGCCTCTGCATGCTGCTTTATCGAGACAGAAAAAGAATAGCTGGCCAATTCTTTCAGTTATCACCTGAAAAAAATGTTAAAAAATTCGAAAAGCCATTCTACCTAGATGAGCCCCAGGTATTTAAGCTGTAAATCGCAACTTACAGGGCACCTGGGAAGCTGGAAAGTCCTCTCAGCATGGGTGAAAAGACTGTTCTGTGTTACACATGTAGGACATCACAGAAATTGGATCTGCATTAACACAGATTTGCAGATGTTCCCAGTTTCCCTTGTATTTTAGCCTTCCAGGTTGGTCTATAAAAACATTATTAGTAGCCAAACCATGGATTATTCGCCTTGAGCACAGAAAGTTCAACCACTCAGCAGTCACTCATCATCTTCCCATCATGAGCCTTACCTCAGGTGTAAACGTTTCACCCTTAATTTACATGCTTGGGTATATTTCACTTTATATGTTTAAAAAGAAATTTAGCTTTTTAAAAGAATAATTTGAGGTGCTATAGCTCATAAACAGCCCAATCTTCTGGTGCACCAGTTTCTCTTTGGTGCTTTTCCATATCCTGAAGAATCAATAATTATCTTGAATTTCTAGAACTGGAGGCATCAAAGTTGTATTTGCTAATGGAAATGTTTGATAAACAGCTGTTGCTCTTTCTCAGAAGTATGTGAGAGTCTACATTCAGGTAATATTGCAAACCTTTTCTTTTGGAATATTCATCCTAGAGGCACTGTTTTCTCATCCTGCTTGCACATCTGACTCTTTTAAAGTTAAAGAGCTCATCCTTTTTCTCTTGAACCATCTCAGACAGAGAACCAATTTGCGTTGCATGAGATCTGAAAACAATAGAAATGACCAAACTCTACTGACGTGGATTCTCTTCTACTTATTTCTGTTTAAACCTGGTCTACAGGATGAAAGATGAAATGCAAATAGCTTTAGCAAAAAAGGGCTAAATTAAATCTGAGGAAACGAGAAAGGTCAGGTAGTTTAGCTTGCTTCTCTTTCCTGACGTTATTTGATTGTATTAATTATTCAAGCAGAGATGCTTCCATCAATTTCCTTCAATACCTATGGTATGATGATCTTAATTTAGTATCTCCTTGTGTCAGGCAGTTACAAAAGACCCAGTATTAACATTTTGTTGATGAATGAAAAGGAAACATTCAGTGGTTAGAGGAAGAGAGGTTAACAAAAAATTCTGAGGTACATTTTGAGTAAGTATTTATTAAAAACCTGACATGCATCTGCATCAGTTAAGTCTGCAAACTAATTTGGAAATTTCAGCAAAGGAACATTTTGCTCAATTTTGACAATTCAGTCAAAAAATGAAGCTGAAGGGCATGGAAGAGGTTATTTCTAGCCTATGTGAGACTGATTTTTATTTAATCAATTTAAAGGTTATATAAATATAGGTACATCTCATATTTCTTGATGGTATCATTATAAACCACAAAAGCAAAATGAGAGTCGCTTGTGAAACACTGGATGCATTAAGATGCATCGGTAGGACTGCTAAATATGTGGTTTTCTTTCTAATTTTCTGGAGAAATTACTTACCTTTGCTGAGCGTGGACATGGTTACTCTAAGTTCTCTCAAAGATTCTTTCTCTTCCACACCCAGCAGTGGGATGGAAGGGGGATTTTTTTCTTACAAGAAATGAGTGCTAATGAACCTCAGAACTCTAGATTCAGTGTAGCATTTTGGAAATGTCAGAATTATTTCCAAGACTCAAGTGATTTGTCATATTATAAGACTGTTTCTTGGCTTTTTAGTATTTACAACTTAATCCAAAGTTTTTTTTTCCTCTGATACTTATCATTCAGTTATTTTAAAAAAATCCCTATTTGTATAATTTAAAAATCAGATTCACAAAATGAAAGTTTCTTCATCCGAGTTAACTTGGTGACAGTCCCTTTGCCCCCTTTGTACTACATGCTAAGAAGAGGAGGACTTAAGGAGAAACAGAAAGAGAAAAAAAATATAGCTGACTGAATTTAGCAGAATTTTTTCAAAAATTCTCTGATTTTCAAATAGCATTGTCCATGTAATGCTGTTTTCTAACAAAAAAAAGAGACACTGAATCACTGAGTTTTGCTAGTAGAGAATACCTTATAGATGTAATTCTCTCTAGTGCCTGAATCCTACTTCTTCAACCACAGCATCACTGACTTTTCTGAAGAAGAGGCTGAGGAAACTAGGCTTGCTTAGGCCGGGACAAAGGAGGCAAGGAGGGGATCAGTGAGCAGCTAGTTGAAGGGTAGTTACCAGAATAACAAAGCCAAAATCTTCTTGGTAGTGCTGGAGGATACAAAAAGGAGAAATAACACAAATTGCCTTTCAGGAGGTTCAGGCTGGACATCAGGAACAAAAATTCATGAGGACAGCGGCACTGCACTGGAGCAGGTTGCCCAGAGAGGTGGTGAAATTTCCATCTGTGGAGGTTTTCAAGTCTTTGCCACACAAATCCACAGCTCATGTGGTCTTGTGGTGGAGCTAGTCCTGTTTCAAGTGGGAGACTGGACCAGGCAGCCTCCAGAGGTCCCTGCCAACCACCATGTCAGTGGTTCTGTGATTGCCTGAGTGCAGGTGTGAAGCCCATGCTAGCAATGAATCCCAGTGCATGAACTTCAAAAAAGTCAAACAGCTGAAATTGTCAATGGTCAGTGAAACGCACACTACTTCCAAAATCTAATTTCATTCCTGGAAAAAAGCCCAGAAATGTAGGGCAGTTGGGTTTTCACAGCCTTTCAACAAATCATCTGCCACACTACTTCCCTTGGCCTAATAAACAGCCCTTCTCACAGAGACACACCAAGGAGACTGAACATGATTTCTCAAGACCCATGGGTTTCTCACCTGAATTATGGCAAACAGAATCATTGTTGGTAAACATAAAAAAGGAGTTTGGAGGAAAGGGGGAAGATGAGAAGAAACATAGCTGTGTTACTCAAAAAGATTTATGCCCTGGAAAAACAGTGAAGTTGCAAGAAATATTCAGTTTTTAATAATGCCTTCATATCAAAACCTTGAGGGGACTGGCTTTTTTGTATTTGAGAAATTTCTACCTTTTCTAACATAGAACCATTCAGTCACCTTTTTAATGGAAACTATCACCCTTCCTCCTCCCAATCCCCAAAGACCACAGGAATTTGTTTTGAGTAAATTTTTGAGCAAGTGAGAGGTATGGAACTGTGTCTTCAACTTCAGTTATTACATGTTTTTGTCATCATAGAGTTAAAAAATACAGTTAAAAAATTCAGAACAAAACTTCTCATAAAGACTTACAATCGGATGCTTTAGGCTGGACATTTATTAGCTTTCCACATCTCCTTTTTTATTATAATAACGCATATGAATGAACTGGATGCGGCTAACTAAAATGTTGCTATGGCAGCACTAAGAAAGCATTGCTTTAGGAAAGCTAGGAAATTGCACTTCTCATGGGAGCATGTCCACAAGTGGAAAACTCTATTATTGAAAATGATAATTATTTAACTACTTCCAGAAATTAAGGCTTTCTGCTCCCATTGGTATCCTTGGCAGATAAGCAACTGCTATCAGTGGAATACAGATTATTTCTAAGTAAAATAACATCAAAGTTGCATGTTCTCCTAATTTTAAGATTTGCCTAGTGCTTGCTGAAAACAATCTCAGATTCACTTTGTTATTCCATTAAGATCAAAACAAAGGGTATTAAAATACATCTAATGTAAAAAGTAAACTGAAAACCTGGTTAAATTATATTTTATAGATTACTGAAACCCGCTTGATTTCTTGAGAATTTGTTATATTTATACTAGACGATATTTCAAAATCAATTCCAGAGAATTGTACATAGCGCTGTTTAAAAATGCAAACAGAACACAAAAAGCCTTGAAGAAATGCCATCACCACCACTTGCCCATGACTGATAACGAAAGAAACGAACAAAACTCTGTGGCTGGCTATCAGTGGCAATATCACACGTATCAAGCAATAATAAACTGATTTGATTTTTCCCACCTTTTTTGCTAATAAACCCACAGCAGATAGATACTGTCCTGAGGTAAAAGGTCAGTTGGCTTTTTGCCTCCATCCGTGTATTGCCTACGTCTAGGCAATACAATACAGACAGGATTTTTATCATTATTAGTTAAATAATATTATTTTAGAAGTAAAAGTTTTCCGTGTACATCTCAACGGTTCCCAAGTAAAAGGAACGGACGCTTCCAAGCCCCCTCATGATGTGATGCAGTTGGTTAGCTTCAAGAAAGAACCCACCCCAAACTGCACAACTGCTTTAGGCATTGTGGCCTTTAGGAACAATTTTAGATTTAATTTTCCAAGACTACTATATTAGTACTAAATAACATATACAAAATACGTTAGTCTTCCATATGCAAAATGGACTGACTCTTGAGAAGACTAATCTTTACTCTCGTCTAATGGTGTGCAGATGTGTTTCTCACGATATACGATAATACAGAGTTTGTTTCTATGGATGAGGACTAAGTTCCCAAGTTCACTGGTGTTTGCTGCTAATTTCTACAGGGCCAGGCTTTTACAGCTGGTGGGGATGTTTCAGCGTTTGTTCTTGACTGAAGTACTCCCCTGGGGGCAAAAAGGAGTTTGACTATGGACTTCAACTGGAATACAATGCTTAAAAATTTTCTCTCTGACAGGCCTTCAAAATGCTTCAAAAGTATCCATGAGGTGAGATAACTCAGACTCACATCTCTACTAATTTGAGCCAGGATACCAGGATATTTTCAAGAAAGCCAAGCTGTACAGCAGCATGTATTTCCCCACATTACTGTGTTAACACTGCTTCTTCTGATGGAAAGCAGAAAGTGGCGAAGTTTTAAATTCGTTTTTTTATAACATTTCATCTTCATACATAGTCATACACACATAAACTACTGTTGAAAGATCAGTTTTTCCTTCTCATGTGACTTGATCCGTAACTGAAAACTGCAACAAAATAAAAGAAGAAATTTTGTTTTCTGGCTACGTTTAGGAAAACCTACACAGCTCAAATTTCTAATAGGGCTACTGAGAAAATGAACGTAACCTGAGGGGCAACGTTATAACAAGTTATTTAGTGTTTATGGCACTCTGAGCGTGGCCGTTTATTTGCTTTTCACATGTGTTTATTCTGCTTTAGCTTTCGAGACGTTGAGAGAGGTGCTTCAGAAATACCTAACATCTTTTAACACTGAAGACTGCAAACTGCTTTCCCAAGGCTCACACCTTACCATTCAAATTCTAGCATCATCAGAAATTGCCAAACCCTAGACTTAGCATCAAATTTAGCCATCAAAATTGCTATATAAAAAAGGAGGGGTTTCATCCTTTACTGAAATGCTGACAGCTCTAGCACAAACCATGGCATGCAAAATCTAACAAAATGAACTCCTGCTAAAGCTGACACAGGCTGGTTCACTGGTGTTGCTTATCTGAACATGATTGCCCATTTGATAGTTGACCAAGGTGTTGCCTTTAGCTCAGGCTCTGAGGAAGGAGCTCAGTTTGCTGACCAGGGTCAGGCCCCTTCTGACTGTGCCTCCCTTGCTAATCCCATTAACCCATGGTTCAGCATCACAGCAGGATGGACAGTATCCACTCGCTGCCAGCTCTGCAGCGGTGCACCACAGTCTCCTAGGAAGTCAGAAATGCAGAGTTCACAACTTCAGATAAGGCAGGAAGGAAACCTGCTGTCTCCCATTTCCTGGCCAAGTGTTTGTAATAACAGGCTACTTTGTAAGAACAGTCTTTGTCTGTGCTTCTGAACGAAAACGCAACTGCTTAACGTGGCATTAAACTCAGTGCTGCAACTGTGAGGCTGGCATCTGTAGAGATGGCCTGAATATGGTCCAACAAGGAACTTACACACCTTCTTGCCTTATCTCTGAACTGCCAGGCCCTAAATAGCAGTTAAGTACCTTGCACCTTGGATTAGGGCATTTTAAACCTCTGCAATGCATATGAGATCCCCTCTAAGGTGAAGCAGCTCATGGATTGCTTTCTTGGATGTTTGCTTAACCCTTGTTTTAAACACTAGAGTAGATGTTCTAGATCTCACCAGAACTAATTTGTTTCAATTACTCTAGGAAGACTCAAGCAAGGTAAAGGAACTGAACTCAGGCCTCCTGAAATGTAGTATTATTCCTTAACTGCTGTATAAGTTTTCTCCATACTGGCTAATATATTGTCATTACCCCAAGAGATGAAAAGCTCACATTCCTCCTCTTATGGTTAATAGAGGAAGAGGATAAAAAGGGTGATGCCTTAACAAGAATCCTCAGGACTATGACCACATTTCATTTGTACTCCTAGAAATGATTTAGCAATGTTCAGGCATCCTAACATAGGTTAAAAGCAGAAAGAAACAATACCATCACATACACTCAGGAAGCACCAGGTGCAGTGCAAGTGAACTACGCATTTTGAGGATTCATTCCAAACATTCTTCTAAATTATATTGATACTTACTTGAGAGGAGAGAGAGAAGGATATTGCACTCAACTTTGCAAACTGACCTGTAGATAACAAAGGACAGAAAACAAGAAGATGACAAATTAAGCTAGTGAGCAGCCAGGCAGTGTATTATTCTGAAGAAAGCCATGCACAAGCCTAGAAATAAAGAGAACAATTGTGGACCCAGAAAATAAGCCCAATGAAAAGTGTATTATACAACACATCCAGCAAAAGACTGTAACAAGAACGCAACTGCTAGCAGACGTGGGAAGATAAGCACTGTTAGCATTTAGACTTGTGCACTAGAAGTGTTTTTTTTCTGGTACAAATACTTGTTATTTACAACATGCTCCAAAAAAAGAGAGAGAAAGAAGCCTCCTTTGAGGTTCCCTGTCCCAGATTCCCTTGTGCATCTTGAGTGTTCTGCTCATCCTTTACTAATTTAGAGTTTTGCTTGAAAACCTTGCTTGGAGATAAGGTGACAAGAAATAGCAAGAGTGGGTTTTGACCAACCATCTTCCGTGCTACACTGCATTTACACATTTTTCTAAATGTGCTGCTTTTTCACAAAGTGAGATATTTAATAACGTAAAATATTGTTACTGAGGTTACCGTACTGCAACCTTAGCAGGAGTTCTTCCTCACAGTTTTTTTCAGCTGACAGTTGCATTATGATAGCTACCGTCATCAGCTGTTTTCGGCTATCCAGAGGAACACACTGTACATGTGAGTATGAATAGTAAAAAGCTTGCAATAAGTTCCAGACCTTAGATGTAAAATGAGACAGTTCACCTGGGCACTGTTCCACACGACATTCTAAAAAGAAATTTCCCACTTTCCAATCTTGTTTCCAAAGTGACTCGTGTTAGATATTACAGAAAAACTACCAGAATAAAAGGCTACATCTTGTTAGCTCCCAGCAATCTGTAGTTTAAAGAATTCCTAACCAGAAGGCTTGAACTTCATTTCCACACACCTGATCTCTCAGTATCTGTTTAATCCTTTTTTTAGCCTATTTAAATTTTCGGTATCTACTATATCTTACAGTGATGAGTTCCAACTTCTAATCATCCACCATGTGGGAAAATACTTATTTTTGCTTGCTTTAAACCTGCTCCCTTACCATTGAATTGGGCGTGCCCAACTACTGATATTACTACTAACACTGTAAGAAATAACGATCTTTATATTAGCATGATCCAAGTCAGAAAAAAAAATGCCAATAGTCCGTTATATCAGGCAGAAGTAGAGACCATTCACCAGAAAGGAGAGGATACTTAGAAAATGCCAAAGCCTTCTGTCAAATTGGTTTTTCTTGGACTCTTAAACAAATGTCCTCTGAAAACTTCCTTAGGAGGCGTTTAATGACAAGTCCTCAGGCTTCACTGTACTAGATGCTTGTTGAATACTTGGTACTGTGGGATTTAATTCATTTCAGACCCTTTCCTCTCCTTCCAGGCTCTGACAATGACAATGACACACAGGCTGTACTTGAGCTTCAGTTCACAGTGGGGCCGTGAGGAACGCTTTTCACCACTGAAAAAAAATATCTACATATAAGAAAAACTCAGCTTAACATCACCAACATTATTGTTTCTCACATATAGAGAAGTATGGACAGCCAGTGTCCTCTTCTCACCTGGTATGCCTCATCCTGCAGCTTCTGCTTCAGGTATTCCTCCATCTTCAGCTCATTCTCCAGCTGGCGAACAGAGTCATTCTCATAATTTTCATCATCTGCTCTGACATAGGGTTCTCCATCTTCTGTAACCCTAAAGACAATTATTAATAAATAGCCTCCTGAGATGAATGACATTTGGGGTGAATAAAACTTCCCTTTACCGTAAGCTATGAGGAGAGCAAATGCTCCATTAATTATTATTTTCCTGGCAGTCTATCCCCCTCTCCAGTGGTCTGGTATCCATGAAGTAGGCCAAAGGGCATATTCTGCTAAAGGTGTTTTTGGAGTACAACCCTACTGAAACAAAAGTAACAAAAGTCCTCAGGAACTTCTCTGAGAGTGATACAAAGAGTAAGAGATTGAATAAAAGATAACTGGAAAGATGCCCATTGTCTCTGATGGAAAGGTTCAGGTTCTAAAAATGGAGCTGGTCAAAAAATATTTTGTCTTTTCCATAAAAAACTTCTCTTTTTCAGTGTGTCCAACAGGCCCCTCAGTCTGGATAGACAGCGACTAGGACTGCAGGGCACACTAGGGAGCACATGTCCCACTGCCTCAGCGCAGCCACAGTGTCCCACATTGGATTCAAGAAGACCCAGTCCTGAGTATGTCCTAAGTTCTGGCCTTTAGAGCTTACAGAGATTATTGGTATCTAGTCATAAAGCTTTCCTCGCTTGGATTTCTGCAATTTTTGGTAATCAAACGGTTGAGAAGAAGAGAAACTATTACATGCTGTATTTTGTCTTCAAGGGTAACAGAATAAAAAGAATGAGATTAAAGTGATGAATCAAGAAGGTACCCACATGTCACTGCGCATGGAGCCGGTGGCGGCAGCACTGTGAATGTACCCTGGCTTGCGGGCATGGATCTGTGCAAGGAAAGCCTTCTCAGAAGTTGGCGATGGAACAAGATCATCAAAATGAGTCCGTCCAAATTCTGAATCCACGTTGCTTTCTGTCTCACTGCCCACTTCTGTGAGGCAAAAAAAGTGTTTCCATTTAACTTTCTCAAGGGTAAATATACTTGCTTATTTCTCTAAACATTTCTGCCTGTCCAACTTAGAATGCCATCTTCTAAGAGGGAATGTCAGTATATTATTCTACATATTTTCAGAGCTTACAGTTTTCTTCTTGTAGTGGGACAGAATAGTGAAACTCTTTCTTATTTGGCTTATTAAATGGGATTTTTTTTTTATAAATATTCTATATACCACATTTTAAAACAGACCCTATATAGTCTATACGTAGCCAAATTTCTGAAGAGTGCAATCTGTTTCTCATAGCACCCCAGCCATCCATTTAAATGGATACTTTTTTTTGTGGAAAGGTAAGATGCTATGTGATTAGGGTGTTTTGACCCCCACTGACCAAATACCCTCTCAGGCACAACGACTCCTTGAAAAGAGCGTTTCCACACAGATCCTCGAGCTAATTTCTCAAAGAACTTTCATTATATCTAACCACTTCTCTACATTCATTTCTTTCAAAACTGCTGTATTCCTAAAGGTATTATTTGTTTTTTTTTCTCTCTGAAAGCATAAACATCTTTGAAGCTACATTACACTGCTTTTTTGTTTGCTTACTTCTTCCTAGCTCCCATTTGTTAAAATATATATGAGATAACAACGTGGTGACTATCTTCCCTCTTTAGACTCACTCACCAGAATTTAGCTCTTTTACCAAAGAAGACATGGTGTTGGTGATTGAATCTGCTGCCACCAGCAAATCATTTCTTAAGTTCCGTCTTGCACCTGAAGCAAGAGACAGACAAAACACAGTGTTAATATTCTTCACAGGCCATATGTTTTCCTGTTCAAAGCAGTTTTAGCCCTGCCCAAAGCTGCCATTGTGATAATTCAGGGTATCAAAGCCCTTACAAGAGACACGTGCAGAAGAGCGCTCTGCAGAACGGCCTCATTTTCTTATGCTGCATGCAAGAGCAGAAACCTACCCTCGTGCTTCATTTAATCACAATGCCAGAAATGTGGAGATTATTCATTGCCATCAAGCTCACATTTGTGTGGTGACACTAGCAGACCAGGCCTGGAAGATTAAATCCGATGTGAACTCATTTAAAATGTCTGTGGGGGAGGAGGGAGGAATGAAGTGTTTTCTCTAAGTTCCCGCAGTTCTGTTTAATGACTCCGTTATTGTCAGGTATTTGCCAGATAATTGTGGCAAATGTTGAAGAAACATACTTGACCTCATCAAGACTGATATGGATTTTTTTTCTCCGCTCCCTCTTTCCTCTCTACTCAGTCTCTTCTGTAGCTCAAAGATTTTCTTGTATCGTCCATAATTTACCTTTTTTTTTTTTTTAATAAAGGAAACACTATCCCTTCTCTAAACAGCCCTAGGCTTCTTCTAAATTCATTCTAATAATGGATCTAGAAGTGGTTCCCTGCTGAACCTGGCAATATTCCCTTAACCATCAATTGTGAAAGATTCCTGTGAGCTGAGTGCAATAATCCTTCCCTAGGAGTGGGCTGTGGGTAATGTGTGCTTAACTCTCCCAAATCCCAAACACAGTTCCTGTTGTAGCTGCATAATCCAGGTATCCCATGGACTCTTCCTGGGAAGATTCTTCCTAGGAAGTGGCAGGATTTGACTGCTATATTCTTTAAAACTGGCTGTTATACTATCCACTTTTAAAAATGCCCCAAATCCTAAAGAGGTTCTTCTTAATATATCACATTTAGCAAATGATTACTGGAATGTAATCAAAGGAGTTAATCTCTCTCTTACACATGCACACAAACACTCAGACAGCCTCTCCCTCCCTAAAGCCTCCTCAGTTTTGTATCTTTGAACTATTGAAGCACTATGAAAGACGAGAAAACAAAGAGAAACAGTGCTCTAACCATGGCTGATCTGCATTACGTGTACATAAACAGATCTCTTGGTACGTAGCGCAGAAGGGAGATGTAATCTCTCAGCCCACGCACTCGCTCACAACGATATACGTCAACACGTGACAGAACCGCGGATTTCAACTTCTCTGATTTTGACCTTCCTAACTAAAGAATATGGTAAATAATGACACAAAGCTAGTTATTTATCAAATGCAGCAGTTTTAAAATGTGATCACTGTACCTTTTCATATTGCTTTTTCTCTTGAACAGAACATATTTATGTCCTTAGGAAACACTTGCCTGAGGCAGGTTAAGTATTATTTATGGATATTTTATTGTAGCCACTAAATTACTTCTCTTCGTCTCAGCTGTGGAAGAAAGTGTTCTACAGCATCATAGGGGTTAGTGGTCCACATTTTTGCCTTTCTCAAATTTTCACAACAAAAAGAAGAAAAATGTTTCTTATTTGTTTCTTTTCTCACAGCAAATGAGGTATCCAGCAACCTGCTATGCTGAGACTAGGAATTATGCCTTAGTAAAAGATGCCTAAAACATGAATTTACCAGCGCTTTAGTAGAAATTTCTTGATTGCATTATGGATTCAGCCTTGCCATAAGGTATATAAACACAATTCCCATGGAAGGCAAAGGGTAGGGTGCATGGGAAGGCAGAACTGGGCTCTTAGGGACAAGTATGCATCCACTGCAGCTGAGGAACTCCAGAATGCCACTTACATTTTGATTTGTACTTGTGAAACAGAGCAAAAATTTGCTCAAATAAAAGAACTGCAGCAATGTGATTATTTTAGAAGAAAGTAGTTCAGAGAAGGAAGGAATATTTCCTCATTCAGGAGGAATGGACTATTCACTTTTTTCTGTATTCAGTATAATCATTTAATCTGTGGCCTTTGAAATCCAAAAGAGTTTAACATTTCTTGTTACTTGACAAGAGGTGGCAAAGGGAATGAGAAGCACAATGCAGCCTACGTCATTCTTTTGGAAATGCTACGGAAGTGTTTAGCTAGATGTCCAGCGCAGATGCCTGTTTGGTCTAGCCAGACTCTTCACAGAGGCTCGCAGCAAAAGGGCAAGGGACAACAGCCACAAGTTGCATCAGAGGAAATTCCAACCAGATACATGGATAAAAATTTACATAGTGAAGTGTGATCAAACACTGGAACACAGGCTGTGGAAAATTCATGTTTGGAGATATTCAAAACTCAACTGTCTAAGGCCTGAACAATCTGATCTCACTTTGAAGCTGTCTTCCTTGGAGCAGGAGGCTGGATGAGATGACCTTTCCCCCCACATTATTCTACAATTCTGTTACCTACTCTTTAGCAGAGTCTTTATTTAAAAATAAACCCACTCACAACACCTTGCTGAGGTCTGTAACAGTTCTTTATATTCTGATTAATAGAGTACTGATAATTGCTTTGACCACCTTGTATCAAAATTCCCTTTTACCACCAGCTCCATTTGTTGGCATCACCATCTAGTTCTACATGGTTTCCACTTACCTGCTCGCCTTGACAGCAAAGTCTGATGGCAGCCAAAGTTGATTTTCACTGCTAAAATACAGTTGTTTTTTTCTGTTTTGTTTCATTCTGTGCAACTCAGACAGTCAACTAAGTTCATTTGGTCATTAACCAGAAGAAATAAGGATTCTTAAAATAGTCTCCGAGTACCTCTTGCAAGCTGCTAAAGAAACTTACTCTGTGCAAAGGCTTCCTGCACATCTCCTCCCACCCCGGTCAGAGAGTCCTGAGGTGTGTGGGTTGGGGTGGAGCAGGCAGAGGCAGACCTGATGGGCATGGGAATAGGTCGGCTGATAGTGTGGCTGGGTGAGGAACGAGGGGAGCCTGCCCCTTGGGTCTGGAAAACAATCACAAATGGTTAAATGGGCCTTTGCAAGAGACTTGGCCTGCTGTGCTTGTCACACATCCCTCACCTCAAAGGCATCATGCTGTCTGTAGATCAGTTGGGTAATGTTAATTTTGCTAAAAGAAACCTACTGAAGTCAATTGTTTGCTAGGGGACAGCAACACTGTTAAGCAGAAAACAATGGTAGGAAAATACCAGTCCACATCTGACTTTCCTGAAGCATGGGAAAATGTCAGACAGCAAAATTAAAAAAAAAAAATCCAAATTAATAAATATCAAAGTATAGGAGTATAGGCCTTCTCCAGCCCACATCCTTCTTTCACTCCCCCAGTTCACGTGCAGTTTTGATAAAAAGTAAATCATTCAAACTGTGAGAAGTGGAAAGGGGCTACCACTGAAGCAGCTTTCAGTCAGGAATGGAAATAGTCTCTTTCATTAGAATGCTTCCATTTTAGCTGTTCTCATCTATGCATCTGCCTCCTTACAGAAAAAGTTCATGCCATAAAGTTTTAAAATGTACATGCAACCTCTCAGTCACATAAAATCTGACACTCTCAATAAATAATATAGCTTAATGCCTTTTATTCTGAGCTAGAGAACTATTTTAAGCCTCTACTAAATCATGAACTATTAAATTCTTTGCTCTACAGGATATAGCCTGGCACTGCCCAAATACTATGAGGACAGGACAGTTTAGATTCCTGTTACGGGTTAAGCTGCTGGAAGTTAAAATGTTTTAACACCAGTCATATAAAATGTCATGCTGTTAGCACCTCACCGTTAGTATCACTTAGTTGAAATTCAAAGACTTTACAAAATATATTTTTTACTAATGCAGCTGGGTGAGTGATCCCAAGAGACACAGTGCCCTTCTCCTTGACTGCTTCAAAGCCCCTGGGAATGTGCGTCCACGTAAGGAAAAACAAACTCACAAACCCAAACTAAACTACACACCTCTTGTCATGACTGAAAATCTGTGTTCAATGATTGAAGTGGCTTGAATACTTTTAAAACAGGAACTAGAACACATGCGCCTGTTTGTTTACAGTGAAAAATAACATTAAGGCTGGTGTTTCCCTCACTCTGTTTATTCTGAGAATTCAGGACTTCTTAACTCTTTCCATGCCATTTCTATTGATTCCCAGTCCGGATCTGCTTTGGCAAATCTATTCTAAAAAAGTCAATAGTGTGCAGCACTGCTCCGTGAGATTTTTAAAAAATCCTGCCCCTAATCATAACTAATGTATTAGAATACCAAGCTATTTGTTGTTTTCTCCTCTCTCCTTTTTTCTTAAGAGAATTATCACTGGGCAGTCATCGGGGCAAATTAGGTTTATGAGAAATAAGTACATCACTGATAAGAGAATGGAGGATTCACTTACATTTTTTTCTTATGATCAGTTTTAAAACATTTAAATGATGGATGAAAGGGAGGTCAAAAACATATGGGCCAGACGCCCTGCTATTTCTGCACTCCTCTGTACCTACTCCAGCAGAAATCAAACCCTGAGGTGGCCAGCTGAGAATTCAGCCACCCTTGGTCTGCTGCCAGCTAGGTGAATGATGCTAGTCCCCCAGAGTCAGGGCACGCAGCAACGTGGTGATGCCCCCAGGCCCTTGGAGGTTGTACCCACTGCTCATTGAGCAGGAGATCTGGTGGTTACGTCTATCTTCCGCCATGCCCTGACTCCTCTGTGAAACAGATTTGCTGCAGAGCTTTTTGCTCCCAGGTCTCTTCCGCTTGCCCTTTTTCCTCAGCTTCCCTTTGCCTTCAATGGCCATTCTAGGGAATACTAACAACAGTGGGAACTTTCAGAGAAGATGAGAAAAAAATGGATTAAATTTGTTTCTGTAATCAAGTCACATTTAAGGAATGAACTACATAATGGGCATTTTATTTACTAAAAATAACGGATGCCTGCCAGTATTTCTCCTCTGGAATTTTCCCACAGGAGAAATGTAAAAAGCTGTTCACCAGTGCTTAGTGTTGAGTCTACTTTAGAGTTATGCTTGAGATCTTGTATTTATGATAAACAATGCTCTCTTATCTGTAGCCTTCCATTTTTTGAACAAACTGTTTGGGAAGTACAGAGAAATGAAGCATATGGATTCCCCTATCCAGTTAAAAACGTGTTTTTATATTATTTGTGCAATATTGGACAGAATCGATGAAAAGAAGGTTGGAACAGGAGAATACTAGAGAATGACTAATTTAAAAGAGGTGAACACTTTTATTATATTTTGCTTAGCTAGATCCAGTTCAACCCAAGTTGGTGGGAACGGACTGTTGTTAGGATTGGATTCCTGCTTAGTGGGAATTAGGAGAAACACAGTTTTCAGAGACTAGAGTCCTAAGATAACCAGCAGTAAGCAACTCCTTGGTAATCTCAGGAGAGAAACCAAGCACCATATTGCTCCCAGACTTAGGTAGCCCCACCAGCTGAGGACTAAGGCATGCTGAGACGGGAGGAAGGGAAAGCTATGACAGAGCAACTTGCAATGTAGGCAGCTTTAGCTTTTATATTTTAATTGGCTGCGGCTATCAATGTTCTGGGGTCTTTTAGTGAATCTTAATGTATTTTTTTAATTTACCATCCCTAGTCAACGTGCTAAAGATTTTTAATTAACCCTTGCTAGACAGCAAAAGGTTTATCATTATCAAGTGTCATGCATGCTTAGGATAAAATGCTTGCAGTGAAAACTGGCTTTACAGGAGTTTTGGACCATTGCTCCCTCTGCTGGAACTGAACAGGAATCACATATCGGGAAAGTCCATCCCATAACCTTAATAAATGATAAGGAAATTACACATACATGATGTCCTCATTATCCTTTCTCGAGGAAGGGCAGCAGAGAAATAGAAAGTTCATAAGCATTAAATGAATTGCCAAACTGCTCATTCCAACTGAATTCCTCCAGAAATTAATTTAATCCTGTATCTTTCAACAGATTGTGAAATAGTATAGTTTAATGGGTATCATTTCATGGCAATTCCAGGAGTAACTCCTTAGCATCATCATTGGCTATTCAGCAACCTTACTATTCTGTGAGGGAAAACTGAAATCTCATAATAGCCTTAAAATGCACTTTCACTTAGTACTATCCGGTGACTATTTTGTATAATATGGAAACTCTTGTCACGTCGGGGACTTTTCTTTTGCAAATAGATCTTTTAACACTGTTACGCAGCACTAGGAAGACAGATCTTATGCAGAGGTGCTGTTTGGTCACATTTTCTTGCTGCAGCAGACTGACTGATGCTCTTTAAAAGTCAGCCAAAATATTAGTTTTTATGAAGCTGAGCATTACCTACAAACTCTGCATGCTCTACCATACATACAGAATATATCAGACTTTTGACTGTGCTTCTGCTGATGACATCAAGAGGCAGCGTTTAATTGTGAAAATTGCTCCAAAATACTTGAAAATAATATGTGAAAGAAGTGCAAAATATTAATTTTGGTCTGAAGAATATGCATATATTTCAAGCAAAAGTAGTAAAATAAATCCCAGGAATACAATCACATTTAAGAGTTAGTGAGGCCTCCAATAAGCAGGTAACTTATTACCTGTTTCAGTTCTTCTTCCTAAAGAGAAAGAGGATGAGCACATTAGATTAGCAAGTATGTAAGTGAAGAGTAGAAGAAGAAAGGCAAACGTGGGTACAGGGTGAAAGTTAAAACTGAGATAGCTGAAAATATGGGTCCAGGTTATGGTCTCAGCTTTGGCCACTTTGAAACACCAGAACTGTAGGAACTGTGCAGAAAGCTAGTATAATTTGCCAACAAAAATTCTCTTTGTCCAGCCAGCGCAACGGCAGCACACTGCCCTTGCCCCTGGTTGTAACACCACAGCATTTCCTAGGTAGAGACTTGGCTGCACACTGGGTTGGCTCCGCTGTTCAGGGGCCACCATTTCCCACCTCTGGGCTGCAGGAGGCTGTGTCTGGGGAGATGCAAATGACATAAGGGGCCAAACTCATTCTTTGATGACCTGCAAACAGGTGCTGCTTAACGGATTTCAGGGAAATTCTTTCTGCTCCTGCCAGAGCCAGTTTGACCCACATTGTACTGAATTACTACGCACACATTTTATCTGGGATGGCCAACAACAAAACACTCATGCCATTCAGAGTTGTTTCTTCCAGCACGAATTTCTGGCATCATCTGTTCTGAGGCATATCAGCCAAAATGGGGCGAGACTTTGCAAATAAAGATACATTTTTCATCTTACCCTAGTCTGTGTTAAAAATGCAAGTGCTTCTTGAGATCTCCATTTTTAAGTGAGATCCTTTGTAGAGGTGTGTTTCATCTTTTTAACAAGGGCTTGCTTCTGTATTTAAGAAAATGACCAAGTATTATTGGGAAAGCATCTCTAAGGTTAGATAGTCAGATGTGATTGTCAGATCACATATCTGACAGAATTAGCAAGAGAATGGGCAAAGGTAAAGGAACTAGTAAAAATAGGTCCGTACCGCCAGCTTGGGCAGATCATAGCGTACAGCGCTGAGTTGTTTTTTCTCAGGCATTAGCTATCTCATGTTACTTGTCATTTTGTTCTTTTCTCCTCCCTTTGTTATGTATTTGACGTCTTCAAGAGGGAAAACTAGAAAAACACCTGAAACTGGACCAGCCACAAAATATTTTGGTTTTGGACATTGCTGAATGGCTGATCCAGAGATTACTAGCCTGAAATCCAGAGATGCTGCTGTATCCTTCTGCAAATTAGCAAAACAGGACCGTACGTCATGCTGCACCACATCGTTCATAGAACTGTATTAATTCTTCAATAGTACTGAGCCTCTCTCTACTGCTCCATCCACTTAGCAGTAGATGACAACGATGATGTGGTGTTATTGCAGGAACAACATAATCTGAGTATCATTTGAAACCCCTGAATTAAAGTAAAAAACAGAAAGGGAAGGAAACAAAGCCAACTTTTATGGGAGGAACTAGTCAAGTTCTGCAGAATTTTGTTGTCAAATCTCTTCCCTCTCTTCTCTTGCTCTGCTGTGCCTTTTCTCCTTGTTGAAGTCAAGCAGAGGTCCTTACCTTCAGCAGTTTCATGAGGCCTTCTAACTGAACCATAAGCTCTCTCCGGCTTTCCTGGAGGGCAGACATCCTCTGTTCCAGCTCATCCTTCCGCTGTCTGAGAAATAAGCAGATAGGATCAGAGCTTATCCCTCATAATGTCAGCCTTTCAACTTGTTAACTGCCATCGTTTCCCCAGTACTACCATGAGGTAGTACCTACAGACTGCAGGAAAGCAAACCCTTTCTTTGAATTCAGCATAGTGCCTAGAAAGTGAGGCTACATGAAAGCAAGGGCATTCCCTCATATTAAGAATATTCAAGGGACAGAATATAGTGATTAGGGAAAAGACAGATACTGACACATACCCTTCTCCAAACAGCAAATGAGGTTCAGACAAAGATGGGTATATTTTCTCTTATGGGAACGCCTGATTTCATTTTTTGTCTTTGAGTCTCTCTAGTCAACAACCAACCGACTAACTGTCAGAAAAAAATAAAATGATGCCCTAAAGGACATGAAATTAGAGCGGAGGCACTGAACAGAGCAAGATATGAGAGAAGCCAAGAGAGTTCAGAAATCCAGCCAGCATACCACAGTGATCTGCTTTGTTTCTATTTTTTCCCAAAGCTGGAGTAAGGCTATCACATAGTGGAGCTCTATCTAACTGGTTGAAAATATCTCTTTGGACTCTGAGTCCAATACTGGTCTCGTGACAGTGTGAATATTGATCCGCTCTAAGTGTGATAGCTGGTTTGTGTCCACATAAATGGGAACAACTTTGATTTTGTACACCTCCAGGGCACTGGAGGGGGGTACCACACGGGGTACAACTCTGTCCTGGCTTGCACATTGTGAACCACCACTGAACTGTAGAAGAGGTTCCCAAATGAATGCTAAATATAATTATTGCCTCCTGGGAACTGTGATATAATTAGCATTATTACTGTTGAAAAATGTATGTATTAGGTACTTTTTTATACACTATTGTGTTACAAATATCATAAAAATACCGTGTTGTGAACCTTGTACTACCTGTAAAACGTGACCTTTTTTTTCTCTCCCAGATGATAGAGGACCAGAGTTAACAACACTAAATGTGTTTCCTTTATTTAAGGAAATGTGGAACCATGATTTTGAGTCTTCTATGAAGGCTGGGTGAGCAGTTACTCATATAGACATCACTGATTTCTACATGATAGCTCATGTGTGCTATCTCTCACCTGTATATCAAGATCAAATATTAACACTGCCAGGCTGAATTTACTCTTCTGGAGGATTAATCTCCTTTCTGCTACAAGCTGTCAGTGCTGGATTTTCTTTTCTGAGTGCTTAATAGTGGGAAATGCTGTGAATGTACAAAGGCAACTGAATTTAAGAGAGTGCTAATAAAAATAAGATCCATTATTCCTGTAATTTAAAGTGGCAGGTCCTAGTACGTATCTCTGTTGGATTTTAGATTAATTCTACAGGAGAGAGGGTCTAAGTCATATACAATTTACAGGCCACTCTTCTTATTTTTTTCTCCAGCTGTACTCTAGAGCAAGTTCTTAGAAGTAATGGGCTTTCTAATCTGTCTCAAGGACAGTACTAGTAATGTGAAGGACTGTAATGATCAGAACCTCATTTCAGCATCTTGCAACAGTACAGCAGCTAGTGGGAGATGCTGGTACAGGCATCCACAAAACAATTTATGGATTCCAGCATTTCTTAAAACGATATGAACTAAAATGACCTAATGCTCTAACTGCTTCAAGCCCCAAAAATCTGTGGGTTAACTGATGTACATCAGTCCTGCTCTTTGATTTTCGTGAAATTCTGCTGTTTTACACATGATAAGAACAGCCTTAGGACATCTTAAGGGTACAGGAATTTTAGATTTTGCCAAAATTCCACAGTAAATCAAAAGCATATCTTTTACCTTTCAACTGGTGAACATTTCGATGGTATGCAAAGCAGTACAAGCCCACAGATTAAAACTTTTTTTGCTATGTCTGACACTGCATATTAAATCAGAAAAGATATCATAATTGAGGAACTTAGCATCAGTGCCCTAGGGACATCCTATGTCAGTAATTTTAAATAAGGTTATTATGCTTTTAAGATGTGTAGCAACTTGAAAGGAGGGAAAATTAACTAGTCAAGCCACTAACACTGCACAATCGTGTGATTTTTTTCTTACGGATAATAAATTTATTTCTCAGCTATATAGAAAACTAATCTCCTAAACCTGCTTAAAATAGACTTTCGGCTTGATGCACAGAAAGAGCTACAGGAAGAGTATATTTTGTTCAATCTTGTGAATGTGAATCTTGATCACATTCATTTTGATTTCTTCAGCTCTCAGAATGTCACTTGCCTGTAGATATCTAGGATTAATTACATACTAAAATCGCTTAAGCAAAGGAAGAAGCTAATTTGGCTTCAGATTGGATAGCAAAAGTAATTATTTGTGAAATAGGAAAATATTTTAGAATCTGTAAAAGAAATATTTTACCACAGTTTTTTACAGTAATTTCCTTCAATTATGACTTAGCCACCTAAAATACTATCTGTGAGAGAAGGAAGCAGCTATGTGGCCGAAAATTTTCTTTAGTTTTCTCACGACAGAACTGCTGTATGAAGGGATAAAATTTAATTTAACATTATTTCACTAAAAAAAAGTACTCTATTATCTATATATGCAAAATGTTTTGAATGGTTCTTACTGCATTCTCAGTGTGGCTCTCACTACACAAAACTTCAGGACTTCCAGGGAGCCTACACATCTGGGCTAACAACAATCATTTTCCTTCAGTACAATATACATGGCAATTAGTATATCTATTTAGAGTATCCTCATTAACATGCATGCACACATATATCAATGTTGTGAGCTTGGTGGAATAATTAAAGAAATAATCCTCTAAATCTTCAGCTGCTGCAAATGGTATTACTCCTCACTTCCGACATGACATGGAGTATAAATCTGGAGCCTGGTTTTGCACAGTGAAGAGAACCGACCTCTTCTCAGAGTTCAACACTTGGGGGAATTTTCCAAAAATTTAATGTCTAATTATGGCTATTTTTTCATGTAACTCCATATTTACTTTAGCATAAATGAGAAGTCTTTGTAGAAGCATTTGTTCTAACAGAATAACATTTTTTCCCCCCACATAACTAATGATATTTGGACGCGGCTGTGGGAACCTATTCCAAATGACCTGAGGGCCTAACTCTACAAACACTAATGCACATGCTTAATTTAATGTAGATGAGTAATATGTGAGATTCCTCATGCATGTTGTTTAAAGCATAAGCTTAATTATTTTCATGACTACAGCCTGCACTGAAATGGGGGAAAAATGCACATTGTTCTATTTACTTAAAAAGTCCCCAAACTTTAAGTCAGGGCTGTCTCATATTTCTTCCCTTCCTGTTAAACATCTGGCCCCAGGAATTCCTGATGCTGTTACTGCTGTGCGCTTACCTCAGGAGCCGGAGCTCTGCAAGGAGAGTGGGATTTTGTTGTGCCTTCTCTGGCGTGGGCTGAGACGCCTGCTCATGTTCAAGCCGCAGCCTCTGGATCTCCTGGAGGATTTCTCTTGGGGAGGAGAAGAAGAAGGCAGCTACAAGTCAGTACATTGCCATGAAACCAGCTGTCTGCACATTGCACGAGGAGAAAAAGTGTAAATGTATGTAGCTCTTCACTGATATGGGTATAACAACTGGGCTCTAACTCACAAAAAGTTTAGTGAAGCTCTCAACACTGGGACAAGTTTATGGATATTTTTAAAATAAACTGCTAGAACTTGACCGTAAAAGCGAAACATTTCTTCAAGACCCCCAAAATCAGAGGCAGACATGAAATAGCTGTATGCTTAGATAAATAACTTCATAATTCTAATTCTTCCCTATGAATATTTCAAGTACCACATGAACTTAACAAAAATTAAAATAATATCTGGCCCTTCTTCGGTATCAGACAAAATATTTTCACTGAAAAAAATACTTTTAGTGTAACTAAAGATTTGAGAGTGGTCAGCAGTTCATGGAGAAGTACTTTAACAGGGCTTGTTATGACTGAATTCCCAACACTGGAGTGCTATCAGAACTATAGTACAAGGCTTCACAGCAGAAGGCTGAAACCTTTGTGATTTTTTTCTCTTCTTCACAATGTGTTGGATATCAGACGGCCAGGAGGCACACTTGAACTATAAAGACAAATCAAGAGTGGAGGTGGTAGATCATTACACTGTGACAGAAGGCAGTGCAGTTTGGAATAGGAAACCATCTGGTTTGGGTGGTCCTGTATTTCACAGTCCAGCAGCGAAAACAGAGCTCTGCTGTCACACGTTTCATGACACCAGGCAGTCTGAGACCTAAGGCCAGATACTCTGCTGATAACAAATGGATGTCACCCCACAGATACCAATGAAGTCATGGTGATCTCCTTTTTTGGGGGTGACTAGCCTATTTCTTCCATACGTTCTCTCTTGGTGTTAGTTAGGTCTGTACCTAGTTTCTGATGTGATCAGCAGCTTAATTTACTGCTGACCTTTTTGCAAAAATTCCTATTTTTCTCAGACAGATTGTGTTCTGGAGAGCTTTAATCATCTTCCCAAATAAAGCAGGGGAACATGATACTGCCAGTATGATAGATTTTTATATTATTTCATGTTACAGTTCTACAGAGGATCCAATTTAAAGTTAATCTAGTTTTGAAACAGGATATCTTTTTTAACTGAACAAATAGCTGCTGAAAGCAGTAAAGTATCAGTGATTATCTCATGCCATTTAACAGTACACTATTTTAAAATACAGACTGCCTATGGATCTTAAGGCCTTTGTCATATTCTGTGGCTATTTTCATGCCCTGTGCTTTTTGTAGGGAGGGCATATGCATGTGTGTAGGTATATAAATTGCATAGAAGTAGGAGATAAAAGGTATTAAAAACCAGATAAACACATGCAATACACGGGACTGACAAAACCAGGTACTTTATGGATGCTTACCGGTTTTTATTTTCAAGCTCTGCAATCAATTGCCTTTGCTGCTTATTTGCATCAATGGTGAAAGAGATATCTGATGCTCCTCTCTGCTGTCCCTGCTGCTGTTGTGAAAGAGAAGGCTGCACTGAGAAAGGAATAACTAGCATACAGCTAGGAGTTCAACTAAAAACTGTTCTGCGAAATTTGCTTACAGAAAATCCAACACCAGACTTGCCTACACTAAAAAAAGGATCATCCATGCTGTGGCTCGTACCAATACAGCTCCACTGCTAGTAAAAGCAGTATAAGTGCTAGGATAAATAAGACCGCGTTTACCATCCTGTCATTTATTGCTGCTTCAAGGAGCTTTCTGTGAACCATTTCTAAAAGTGCTTAACCCCATTCGTCTGAACACCGAGGCAATGGCACCGTTGCTGGTAAGTGTTGTAACATGGCTCTTAATTCTGATACTGTAGACGAGAATGCTGAAACAAAAGCTTCTCTCTCTGAAAAAAGAGGAGATGTTTCAATTTCAGTGATTCTTCCTTCCCTTGAAAGTATGGTTATACTTTCATTCTGAAAGCTTTTGTACTCAGGTTTCAGTCTGGTTGCTTGGCACATCCAACCAAGTTCTTTTATACGCGCTGATGATACTTTCAGAAAAGCTCTTTCTCCTGTCCTTAAGACACAACAGAACCTTTTTTTTCAATAAAATGAAGTGGGAATTAAATTATTTCTTAGCAAACTAAGATAGATACACAGCTTTACTAGACTAGTCTCTTCGTCATATTTATCAGCAAAAAAAAAATAGTTTGTTTGATCACACTCCCATATTTCAGCATTTTATCAATGACAAGGCAGTTCCAGAATTCAAAAGACATTTAGAGTTTCATAACTATTAAAGAGATCCACATATTCTTAACTCTAGAAGAGAGAGAAGAATCAGGAATTAAATAAGTACTCTGCTAAGTTATTATCATGACCTGCCAAAAATGGGAGTGTTTCTGTCTTTAAGAACCTTGTGAAGTGTAACTCCGGACCCTAATTTTAAGTGATGCCAAGCACCTTCTTGGAGGCAACACCTTGCAGGAGCTGACCCTCAGAAAGTAAGAACAGACATCTCAGCGCTAAACTTGCTAGTCCTAAGACTATCCATCTTAGGGGCAAAAATGTGCGTCTATAATCACTGACCAGTTTTTCTGCTACCTGTACATTTTCTCATTAACATTGTGGCCATCAAGAAAGAGAGCATAAAAACGAAGAACTCATGCACGCTAACAGATGTTACAATTGATACAGGGGGAACCAGGATCTTTATCCTGAAGATGTAGTGTTATTAACACATTTGGTTCCTCGAAAAATACAATGCCTGCCAGCAAAGCTTTTAAAAATTTCCACTCTGCTACTAACGTGGCTTTCAAAAATTGTGATACCACTCCTGTGCTCCTGAAAGATTTCTCTACACTGAAACCTTCACTTTTTACCTTGTCTCTTTTATTTGAAAGGCACAGAGAAGTGGGTACCTGGATGGCAAAGAGAAATTCAAAACATCACTCCTAAGCAGAACACATCCTAAACATCACTCTATTTAAAATTTGCTTAAATACTATTTCCGAAGTTTTCTCACATATCGGGGACACTGTTAGATACCCCGGATGCTGCGGTTTCTATCTAGAGACATTATTAAGAGGGAATTTAAGCTCCATAAAGAATCGCTGCCCTTCAGTGACAAAATAATCACCCGCACGTTGCCTCAAATTTGAGCCATGCTATGTCATGCATCTGAAAGGGACTGATTTGGGATGGGCTGAAAGACCATCACAATCTGTGCTCTGCTCTCTTCTCCCGCCGCTGCAGGTACTGTGAAACCTTAACGACAGATGGCTGCACCAGGCAGCAGATTCATCTTCACGGACTTCACTTGGGATGAATGTGACTCAGTGTTTTTACATGAATGGTGTTGCCCAATTTTGCCCTTTCAATTGACCTCACAATGTAATTCTCAGTGTGAAAATATGCTTCCTGACATTCAGGACTGGCTGCTTTTCCCCTACTATCATTTATGGCTCCTTGTTCTATCAAATGTGCTGAGATAGAAAAAAAAAAGAGGCAAGACTGACCTTATTTATGGCATTTAAGATTTTATATACTTCAATTAAGTTCTTGCTTCATTCTCTTTTATTCCTGAATATAGTTAGTGAGGTTTTAGCCTGTCACTGCCCTCTATCTTGGGATACATAGAGGAGAATAATCAGTGCTCTGAAATGAAAATGGGAGCCAGGGCTAATGCAGTGGGTCATTACAGTCACCCTGTTGAAGATCATTCTTTAAAACCCTGAGCACTCAGGGCCCTAGTGGCTGTGATATTTGAATTAAAGAATAAAACGGATTCACCACCACTTTTTTTTTTTTTCTGAAGTAAATCATTAACCTTTAACCAAAGTCAGTCCAGCCAATATTTTCCAGTCTTGCTTGAGTTCAAGAAGTCAGATTCCCTTTGCTGTAATTTTAGAAATACCCTTACATTAGTATATAGATTATATGCATTAGCACGTGGATTCTTTGGTTTAAGTGACCTGCATGGAAGTATTTTTCGTAAAGCATAACAGCATCCGATGAAAAGGATAGGGAAAGTAATCCATGAATCATCAGGGTTGTCAAACATAATTTCCCTGATCTTGTCAAGGCCCTGAAACAAGACAGAAGGAGAGTATCTTCCTTTAATTAAAACACTTACTGATGAAGAAGTTTCTGCTGCCAGCCTTGCTGCATACCTGGCGATCAGCTTGTGCTCTTCGTCCAGACGACTTGCGCTGTCGAGCACGCTGCTTGGTGTTGGGGGCAGGAAGGAGGGAAGAAATGTTCAAGCACAGTAAAAACGACAATCACTCCACCACATTGTCCATTCGCACACCCTCAGTGCACAATTTAGAAGAAAAATATTGCCAAAATGTTTCACATGAGAGATGTTAACTGAGCAAAGGGGAGTAGTGATGGGGAATTTCTCTGGCAGGATCAGCTCTAAGGACCAGACAGCCTCTTCCTGTAGAGGGAAAGATTTTTTTTAAAGAGCAGCAGCCCGTGGGCCCCAGCCAGGGCCATGCGGGATGCAGCTGGCAGGCTCCTCTGTGCACACAGGCATGTGTTTAGGACCACTACCATTTGATTTTACTTTTCAGCTTTGTTGTGTCACCTAGAACAGTGATTAAGTTTTGGAAAATGGCTTATTGGGAACTTCAGCATTTCTTGTGCACAAAAGAAGTTTGTCAAATTTGTAACAGAAAACAAATTTAGGACAGTTCTGTGAGGCACTTACCAAAGCCTAGTGGACCACAGATTTGGAATCACTTATAATGAGACCTTCTCTTTTTCTTTTACTTTCCTGATATTTAGGAGTAAGATTTCAGAGAATCACAAAATGGCACACCAGTGTCCCCAAACTTTCACTGATTTTAAATTGGAGCCAACCCATGCTGCCAGGATGCAAATTGCTAGCACTCACTAACACCTATGAAGGGAGCCCGCCTTCATCATGAGTAGCATCTCAATAAAAACATACTAAAAAAGAGCAAGAACTTACAGGAAACACGCTAAATTCCTTTAAAATACTTCCACTAATTACATGTTTTTCCTAAGAAAGTAGAGGCAAATACTTCTCACAGGATAAACCCTTGCCAGCTATCCTTATTATAAATGGAGCCTATTTTTTGTCAGATGAACAAGAAAAAGATAATGAAGTGGGAACCTTTACTATTTCTAAATATGCATAAATTTACAAAGAACCACCAAAACTATTATAAAGGGAAAAAAAAGAGTGTGAAGAAGACTTATCTGACCCTAGGTAACATCTTTAGAATCCCATATTGCGTTACTTTTAGCATATACAAGAGAAAAAAAGAAGTCCCTAATAAAAGGTGAGAAGAATGTTTTACTGCATGGAATATAAGATAGTATGGCAGACTACCCCAGACAGAGTTAAGTCTGACCTCTTTTCTTCAAATTGTTTTGATGTTTTGGCCAAAGGGCAAGAAAAACATGCCTCCCTACCCATGTGCTGACTAGGACACGTGGCTGGTTGCTGCAGAATCAGGTTCACGTCTCAGAGGAGTGCACAAAACAAGAGCTATTTTGGACTTGGGCATCTTAGATTCTACGTTTCGCCAGAAATTGTGTCTTGAACCTGAAAAGCCTTCCAGATGAAAATAGCAGTGAAAAATATTTTTGTGCAAAAAGTTCTGCTTTTGAAGAATTAGCATAACTTAAAGGAAAACAAAGCAGTTCTTCAAAAATTCTCAGTGAGTTCATATCCTCACGTACCTCAGGGAACTACAGCATGCAGCTTTTGCTTGGCGTGATTAATTCTGCTGGGATTTAGAATTTATATTTGAAAGATGAGCAGGGGTTGATATTCACTGATCATTAAACTAAGGTTGGGAGTCATGTGGATTTTTTATGACTTGTTGAGGTAATGGAAAAGAGACAAAATAATTTTTTCATTCTAACAATAACCTGTGAGACCACAAATGTGAAGTTTAGAAATTCGCCAAAGCCGTGAAAAGTCAGACACAGAGGGGTTCTGTTTAATCCAAGCTTGTGAGGTAGACTATATGTAAGGCTTTCGGTGGTAGATAAGCACCACTTTTTTAGTTTTGGTTATGTTTAACTTATTTTGTTACATATACAGCTTGATTCTACTCTTACTCAAACTCTAGTAGGAAGACAACATACAAATGATTTACTTTCTGAAAAGACTCAACCTAAAAGTGGTTTTCTAAACTTTTTAAATTTATAAACAGCTGTGCTTCTTACATACTCCAGCCTACCATCCCGACATAAGGAGAGAAAAAGAGGGGGAAGGAGCTTTTAGACACATAAAATTATGCAAACCAGGTAATGAGGATTAATTTCATGACAATGTAATTCATTTTTAATTTTTCCATAATGACTAAGACATCACATCCTAACAGATGGCCGTGAAAAGAGCAAGCATTCAGCATCAATTCTCATTTTTACAGCAACGTGCAACTATATTATCCACCCTGGAAAAATAATAGATGATGGTTCCACTTGTTGGTGTAACAGCAATCCACAACATAGTTCTGAGATTTGAGTTGACCCCTGAAACACTGACTTTATTGAATGAATCAAGCCACCACAACCTTTTGATTCTTATGATGCCTGTATTTGCTGTTTAATGTCTTTGATATACGTTTATGTGTAGGTGAATACCATAAAATAGATCTACACCTATTTTACTGTGTGAAATTTGGTCTATGAATGTCACAAATCACTGGCAATAAAGTTTTGTAAATTAGACTGCAATGTCTGAGATAAATTTAATTCTGAAATGTACCTATTCTATGTGATCATTAAGCACAGAGGTATATACAACAGCATTAGCCTTTAATGCAAAGATTTTTATGTCTCAGAGTTCTGATTTGCCATAATTCAGTTCTGTTTCACTTCAGCAACTTCATGGACAAATGAAGGGAAATACATACATGCCTTAAAATACTACAAATACGCGTGAAGAATTTAGGATCCTCAAAAGAGGGCACCTTTTTGAAAGAAATTCTGCATTTCACAATCAAGGTGTTTAAATATTCTGCTTCTGATCCTTATTTTTTTAAACAACCATTTTAAGACTACTTCTCTATTAGTAACTATTTCGTTAAAGATCTTATAATAATTGCCAATAATTCATCTAGCAGAATTATTATCATTCATTTACAGAGTAGATATCCAATACTGTTGCCTGTACAATAGGGTGATAAGGCCTCTTCTTATAGGCTTTAGTTGAACCGGATAATATTTTACAGTCCAAAGGCATAAAAAATGAATCTTAAAGGCTTCAGGCAAAGGATTAAAAAGATGATAGCCTGTGAAGAGAGGAGGAGCGCCAGAGAACTGTAGCTATTTCTTATGCTTTACATGTGTCAAATTAGCCTGTCCTGCAACAGGTGCCCTGCAATAGGTGGCATGGCTATCCCCTGATGTTCTTAAAATTATGTCAGCATTGGTCAGAAATGTCTCAGAAATGCCAGTCTTTCATGAATTTTTTACAATAGAGGAATTAAACTGTGTAGCCTGCCCGATGTGTTCTTTCCTACAGAATTCAAGCTTTCATTTAATTCATAAATAAATGCATAATTCATTATGAAAAATAATGACAAAATAAAGGGCAAGTTTCTAAGCATCAAGGCTGTAAGTATAATGTCCTAACTACACCAAGCACCACATGCATTCTGAGGATTATGTATCTATCATCTGTGACATTTTTAAAATTGTTTGGATGGTCCTCTGTAATCAGTCTGAATTCTTTTCCTCTTTCAAGAGGAGATTCAGAATAGAAAGCTATCATCTCAGGTATTTCGAAGCATGTGTTAGACTTAGACTCCAACTCTAAGCTGACCCACAAAAAAGTGTTGTTTTCTCCACAGCTAGCTCAAAGACAGACCAGCTTTCCTAGCTAGACTTAGCTGTTGTACTGATATCTGACAAAACAACATGGAACAGCACAGCACTTTTATAACACAGAAATATGACTCATTCCGGTTCGTCATGGTATACTACGATGTCTCCAAAAACCAGAAATCAACTTTCTATAGAATTAAAATAACCTACTATGTGCCTTATTTATTTCTGCAGCTAGAAGAACACAACTGAAATATGTGAATGAATACTGAAAACTAGGCAAAGTTTCTAACACAAACGAATGAAAAGAAAGCAATCTGCAATTAAAAAAAGCCTTTTAAAAAACAGATATTAAAATTAAATTAAATGTCAATATTGGTCTCATATGATAAAATAAAATTTAATACCACAGCAACCAAAACATTTGGATAAGAGTTGTTTTTTTTTAACCCATACGCTTACTATAAGTAATGAAGTAAGTCTTTTTCTTGTTTCTAAATTTCACCTGCAGTACTGAATTCTAAGAAAAACCCGTAAAAGAGCTTATTAGCCTGTGAGGGATGGAAGGGAAAATTTGTACTTCTCGTTTTAGTATCAAGTAACTGCAGATGAAAAATAAAGATAAGCAGTGAAAATTAACTCATTTAATTTAAAAAGTCAAATAAAAGAACCAGGAACACTTTAAATAGAAAAAAAAGAGATCCTGGACAATATTGGGCTGATCATTAGCTAACATAAATTAGCCTAATGCGGTAGCTACTAAAACATTATTTTTGTTTTGAGATGTCACTTTATGGCTGTTAAGCTACCTTTATGCATTATACTCCCAACGGATTTTAGTAAATTTTTCTTTTAGTTGAAGGTCCAGCTACAACCATTGAGTTTTCCATATTTGAATGCTAGCAGCAGTTGAGACTATGCCTTGGCACTCATAGGTATGTATACACGGTGTTTTGCAGGGAGACATGAAACAATTCTGCCAGTCCTCTGAGCTGGCTAGCTGCAATCCAACTCTGAATCAAAAGCTACCTCCTTATGGTTTACTGCATGTTTTACTCAAGTTATCAAATCCTGCTGAGCTGCAGGGTAAATTAACTTGAGCTCAGCATCATCCTAACACAGCTGTATGAGTTCTGAGTGAACTGCATCCAGCTGTTTTGGTGCCTGGCGAGTTTTGGTGCCTGCCATGACGAGTTCATGTTTGCCTGAGAATGCAGCCACAGCCTGTAGGACATGCTGTAGATGACCTACAACAGATGGGTCACCTTTCTGTCCTGGAAACTGGCTTCAGTCTGGACCTTTAGGATGGCAACAGTTTGTTTGCTTTTCTTGTCTTTCCTAAAATGTAACTACTCCTTTTCCCTCCTATCAGTCTCACAGCAGCAGAGCAGAAAATGGCAATGGAGCAATTTGATGCATGACTAAGACTGCTGTCCCTCTCGGTTAAGTTTCTGTCAAAATCTAATTGGTATCTCATATAAATGACTGAGATTGTTTTTAATTGAGGATGCTGTGACTGCAATGATTTAATGTCACTAATCAGATGTTATGTACTGCACTTTGCATCAGTTATTTAAACAATTAAGGCCATTATCAGCCATTCTCCATTCATCCTTCAGAAACATTAAATTTGAAAGACTTTATGGCACATAATTTGTACCTGCCTATTCAGATATAAATATACTATGACTGTGTGAGTTGGGTCCAAAGTGTGAAGGAACTGTTTGGACTATTTTGGATAAAATTTAGAGGATGAAGATGGTAAAGATGAGGGTCTCACTCACAAAGGGAGCTGTTTAGCACTCCTCTCTGAAGCTAAATGAATCCTGGATATGGCAGCAGTAGCCTCACATCAGAAAATGACTCTAAACCAGGTCCAGTCTTTGCTGGCTCTGCACAACCATATTAAGTCACTTAGAGTAGGCAAGGCCACATTTTCTTCTCCCTGTCAAAGCTGACCTAGAGATAGTGGCCTCTTGTCCACTTCAGTCATGGGTGGCCAATGACTGGTCTAAATATATGCCCCATCTGCTTGTTTTCACAGCTACTGGTAGTGCTGCATGAGGAATGAAATTCCCCTTCAAAATGGTTTCATTTTGAAGAACTTGTTTTCATTTTCCTCACTAAATACTAGTTTTGTCTTCTTTTTCCCTACCGACAAATCCAAATGGGACACAGAGTAGCAAAGTAGATCCTGAACATAAAATGCAGACTCTTTTCTCCCTGTGCATGGTCACAAGACAAATTACCATCATTTTCAACTGGAGCTACACACAGAAGTGGGTTTAGCAAGACTGCAGAGAATCACTGCATTCACCCTCCCCCAAAAAGCTGCTTGTTGATTTTTGCATGTATAAGAGTATACTGACAGTATCTCCTCACCTGGGAAATAATCTATAACAGCAGTAGGGAAAACTGAAGGGTTCATTATGAGTGAAAACATCCTGGCCATGATTTTGTTAGAAACACTGTACAGTGCATCCCCCTGCCTTGTTTTCCAGGGCCACACACGACACCTCTCACCATCTCTCTGGTACAGGCCTGCAAGGTAGAGGGTTTTCTTGCAGTTGGAGAGGTAAGACAGCAATTCCCCTCCCCAGGATGGCCTGCTGTGATGCTGTCATGCCATCATTTACAAGCGTTTGCACTGCAGATGTGTTTAGCAGACAAAGTTCTGGGTTCACCTGCCAGAAATAATCAACTATGTTCAGGACACTCATTCTGAGAACTGTCATACTTGAGTCTGAATGAAAGATAAGGGCAAATTTGGACACCGATTTAAACAATGCAGAAGTCAGATTTAAAACCACCACCTGATGTAAGTAAAAAATGAAATGAACTCCTTTCTTCACTAGGCTAAATTTCCTATTGTTGTTATTACCATTATTTGCCTACTATTACCTTTTCTTGCCTGCATGGTAAGGTGAGGCCTCACTTCAAAAATGAAGTCCTTGAAAATGTGGGCCTGTTAGTCATTGCTATACGACAATTTTTGTACCATCAAAAAATACTGCACTGACTAGTGCACAGTATCCCAAACCAATCTGTACGGTCGTTCTTAACTAAGCAATTATTTACATTACTTGGCTATTTAATATCACTAGAGAGAATAACAGCAATTGCCACAATCCACCAAATTTGGAAGGACATACCCCATGTGCATATACACGTTCCCTTTAGATTAATGCTCATAAAGAGCTGCTGCAGCTTGTAGCCACGAGGAAACAGTGCGTGCATTTGGCCGACCAACGTCCCTTTGCTGGGTTCCCCAAAGGTGCCAAACCTGCACTAACCGTGCGGGGTTGCTCTGGAGCATGTTGACATACAACCCGATGAGTACATGTTCATCGGCCAGCCTGTCTGCAACATCGAGGCTGTACTGTAACCTGAAACGGGGTTAGGGGGAGAGAGGGTGCGGTCCGGACAGACAGAGGGAAATAAACAGAGAAAGCAGGAGCAAGTAAGACTGTGAAATGGGACTTTAGGAGCGAATAATTAAGTGTTTTTAGAAAAAAAAAAAAAACAAATGCAGAAATTATTTTGCTATTGTTGTAATTTATATATTAAATATTTTAATGGCCTAGGATGGTAGAATCCAACTCAATTACAGAGCCAGCAGCTGATACCAATGAGATGCAAGATCAGGCCAGGGACTGGAGCTGTACAAAATCACTTATTAAAAAAAAGAAAAAGCAGATTGTGAGGTCAGCTGTTTTTGCTTTACTATGTTATATATTGTATATATACATTAAATATACATCCCTTACACAGATGATTAACATACTGAAAGCATAAGTTAGATTTGCTTGGAAGTGTCTGATCAAGACCTCACACACCCAGATGTACATAAATACATTTAAACATGCCTTACTTAGCTCACTTGGTTAATTAGTTATTCTGATTTTCTCAGGAAAGATGTTTACAGGATATATTAAAAGTAGGGGAAAAGAGGAAAAGTTCTTGGTTTAGCTGTGTTAGTGCAAGCTATGAGCATACTCCCTCTTTAACTTACCCTTTGCCTTTCAAGAAAGCTGGAGCAGCCCTAGCCAGCAGTTTGCTCTGCTCTACTTCAGTATTCTTGTAAGAAGAGCTAGTTAATAAGACAGGTAAACTTAGAAGAGCGTAAACAGAGTGATGTCGGAAATTCATTACAGAACAGAGTTTGGAGAAACTCATTCAAGAGCCTGGGACTGAGTAAAAATAATTAAAAAAAAGCTTTATAAAAATTTTAGAAAACTTCAGAAAATGCAAAATCAAGAATTAGGGTTTTCCCTCCTTGTTCACCAGAAGCAAACTATAAAGCCTTCACTATGAAAAAGATTTCAAAAAGTGTTTCTCTCCCAAATGGAAAGCTGAAGGCTTACGTAGTTTCTAGGTGGGAGTTGAGGTAAACAACATCTGAAATGCAGCTTTCAAGCTGGGGAAGCTTCATCCTAACAGCTAAACTGCTTTTCTCCATATTTGCTGTATGATAATTTCAACAATCTATGGAAATGTGCTTATTTATATCTGGTGATAGGATACACCCATTTAATTTTGAGAAAGTATTGTTCTTCTGTAGCTTTAAAAATATATATTTTTCATCACATTCCATTTGTCAGACATTTTTTCGTGACTCCATAATGTCACTTTTTTTTTCTAATTACACTATTTAATGAATTGCAGTAACTGTGTACTTCCCAATGTAAAAATATTCATTTTAATCATTTTTAAGATAACTGGCTAAAAATGCAGAGATTTAATTATTAGTTTTCCTTTCCTGCTTCAGCATTTCTGATGTAAAATGACTGCAAAACAAAAAATACCTTGTACTTTCTTCTTTTTTAAAATTATTCACCTTTATTTTTCGGTCTAGCTACTGATACTATAAATAGCTTTGACAAACGACCAGTGCGTGAGCATGCATGTGCCTGTGCATCCAGATGTGTGTTCGTATGTGTGTGTGTGTATGATGTTATACTTTGGGCTGATGCTATACTGAGCTGTTATCTCCAGAAATATGAAGGATGCTACCCAAATGTGATGCATGACAAATCTGAGCAGATATGCTTCTGATGCACTGAAGACCAAAAATTTTGCTAGCAGGACAAATAAAGGATTCACTAGGAGTAGGTGTGTGCCATTCCTCTCTCTTTGAGAGGTCCAGGTTATCGGACGGGTTCTGAAGAGGACTGAACGCAAAGGGTGTCCTAAGAATCCCATCCCTGTTGTTTTATACTAAATCTGGAAGGTAGCTGAATGAAAGGCAATACTGCACAGCAAGAAAAAATGTTTGCTCCCCATTTCTATGCCCATCACCATGCTATTCATATGTGTAACAGACTTCTCTAGAAGCAATATACACACAGATAAACATGCTTCACGCCATCTAGAAGGGTACATTTTTCAATGTGTTTTCTTTCCAGTTACAGAAGAAAAAGGGGTACAATGTGCCGCATCAGTCAAAAATGCAGTGTCCAGTTCTTAAGTGAAGATAAACTCTCTAACAAAATCAGAGACTGAAGACCCAGGGGGGAGATTTTGTGCTTAGCTTCCAAAAACTGCAGTGTGATGGCCCCCTATTTACTGTTGAGCTCTCCTCCTCCATGCTCCAGAAATAAATTAGCTAGGGTAGGGGGACAAGCAAGCAAACGTTGCCTCTTGGACAAACTGTATCTTACCTCCGTTTCCTTCTTAGTAGATTAATTAAACTTAAATCTCTCAACTTCTTCTAAGGAGTTATGTTTTCTAAGGTTTTTTGATGTTTGGGTCTCTCCTCTGGACTCTCTCATGCTGGCCAGCATATTTGTTCCAGGGCCAAGCCCTATGCTGGATCCGGGCAGATGCCTCCTCAGTGTAATGCAGGATAATGACTTTTCACCTGACATCCCAGATTCAGGCTCAATCTAACAATCATATTGATGACTTGAATTAATTTGTGGTTCACTGCAACTGCAGGGACCTTTTTTACAGTATTTTCATCTATCTACTCCTTCTCCATCTTTTATCTGTGCTTTTCATTATTTGCTTCCTTACTGTAGCACTTTTCACTTGTCATTACTGAGTTTTCCCTAACTTGATGATTTCAGATCATTTGGAGATCAGTTACCAGCATTGCAATGTAGCTCATTTTTTAATTTGGAAACTGCTGTCCAAGCACTCCTTCCCATAACTCTTTCAACCTTTGTATAATCTACAAATTGCATAAACTCACACTATTGCTCCATCTAGGTCATTACTAGAAATGCTGGATAGTGTCTGACTTAGGATAGGCTTAAACAGTCCTAGCTGATATACCCTCTCAGACTGAAAGCAAATTACTGAAAATTTAATTAATGATTTTCAACCACTTGTTCATTGACCTCATACTCATTTCCCCTAACCCGCGTTTCCTTTGGGTACATCTGAAAGTGTCCCCTGGGACTATGTCAAAAGTCTTTTTAAGGTCAAGATATATCACATCTGCTGCTTCTTTTTTACCCACTGGGACCAGTCATTCTGTCAATGAAAGAAATTAGGCTGGTGTGATATAATTTGTTCTTGATGAATCCATGTTGGCTATTTCTCCTTGGCTAATTATCCTCCAGGTGCTTACTAATTGTTTCATAATTTCAATATCTTTGGGTACCAAGGTTAGACTGCCAGTTGTATAATCCCTTAGATCTTCGTCCCTGTTTCCGCCTTTAACCTTCCTTCCTTTTGAAGAATCTACCTTCGTCCTTCTTGGTCTTCTGCAACCTCCTACATCCTTCATAAATTCCCCAAATTGTAGCTAATGATTCAGAGATTGCTTTGGCTAGTGTCTTAAATTTTTAGACCACAGTGAATTTCTCCAGAATATATATTTTCAAGATATACTCCTATTAAAATGAGCTGCCAAAGGATGGTTTCTCATTCAAAATAAGAGACGAAACCTCCATTTCTGAGCAGATGTCTACAAATATGTGGACTTAACAATATCGATGTAAGCATTGTACCCTCCTTAGACTCCACCTAGCTACTGAAACAATCAGACATATAAACCTTTCCTTTAGCAAGCAGAATACTAGCCAGTAAAATAAGGAGGATTATCATCTTGTTCTGAAAAAAGCATACAAAGATAACATACAGTCTATTACACTCCTAAAAGATGAAACATGGAGAACAGCAGTAACCATCCCGTTTTGCTCTAAACCTACCTGTTGTCCCAAAATTTGGCATAATCTCTTTCAGTGCTCTATGCCCAGGTAGAATATAAACATTTTTTTAGGTTTTACATGGAGTTCAAAAAAGGCACCAGCTACTCTGACTCAGCATTAATTATGAATTAATTTTTCACTGGTTTGGGACATTTGATACTGTAATGCATTCTTTTTATCTACCACAGAATTACAAGTAATTTCAAGTTCATCACAACGTGCTGTATCACTTCATTTATTCAAGTTTATTATTTCTTAAGAACAATTAAATTTATTAGCTGTGGAGTGGGCTTAGAAAAATGCAGGTAAAAAACATTCTGTTTCATCTTATACCACTGTAAGCCCTATAATTAAATAGTTTAAAGGAGACTGTTATGAAGAGAGAGAAAGAGATTGCATCCAGTGTTACGATAGCTTAAAGGCAGCATTGATAGACTGCAGCTGGATAACAAAAGAATCCAAATAAGGAAAAAAATGTTAATTCAGCTGGGTGCAGAGTTTTCCCTCTTGAGTGGACAACAGTTACTACAATGCTTAATTTACTTGCTTTGATATAACATATACAGTCCGTCGTGTCTGGAAGGGCATTACCTACTCTGTAGCAACATGCCCTTGTTCTGCTGCCCTCTAGGGTAAATAAGAGATCACAAAAATAAATGAAATTAAACACTGAATATTAGCAACAGTAAGAAAACCCAGGACTTGTGGTTTTACTCACATATAAACTACCAGATCCGCAAATGACAGTGATTTGCTATTAGGGAGATCACACATTTTTTGGTCTGCTCATTTCTAACATAATAAAGTTGTTCCTCACCTATATAGAGGGGAGTAGAGGAATCCGCTAAGCCTAGCATACTGTTGATATCAGTTTGCAGACTGTACACATTTAGAAGAAAGGTACTTGTAATTGCTATGGCAATCTACTAGCAGAAGATCTCTTACAGACATGGTGGATCAAACTAAGGAAAGCAAGCTGAGAAATTTTAAAGGGACTTTGATTTTGAAGTGGCTTGAAAAACCTAGGAAGCATCTCAGGGAATGACTGGATCTGATCTCCTTTGAACTTTGGCATAATTGTATATCTGCCAAAATTGGTGCTTCAAACTCAGCTAAACTGCAAATAACATATAATGTCCAATCTCCTTTCAGCTATTCCCCACAATTTGTCATCGTTTTCACTAGTTATCAAAGACCTTTTCTTTAATAAAATTCTTTTCCTTCCTAGTTCATTTCCCTTTTCACTCACGAATCTAGAAAGAAAGATGATATTTTGCTGAACTTATGATGCTACATTCATTTCCAGCAGCAGAATGACTTGGTGTGCTGAATTCAGCGTTTCCTGCTGCATGGAGAAACTGTTTGTGAATGGTAACGTTCTTAGGTGAATGCAACTATCTGAAATAAACACCTTAAGAATGCCACAAGTGACTCTGTGCCAATTCTCTTTTGCATATTGCATAAAATCTTTCTTTAAACTAAAATCTGGAACCCCTGAACTAGATTACAGCACACGTTGTCTGCAGTGAAAAACACAGCCAGTAGAGCTTTTGGTGTTGATTATATTCAGCTAGACATTTTACTCTTAGTTTGTACAATTTTTATTATAATATGAATCATAGAGCATTTAATATAAAATCAGCAGAACTGCAAACAGAGCTGTCAAAGTCTGTTTCTGTGATGTATGATAGAATGAGCTTCCACTAATGAGGCCTCATTTTCCCAGGGCAATAATAATAGTAAAACCTAAAAGAATGAATTAAGATTTTATTATTAGCCTAGTATAGATTGAAGAACTTGGTATTTAGGAGTAAAGTACCTTGGCCTCTGTACTTTTTTACTAAATTATAGTTAATGTTCAAGGGCTAATCAAAAAAGAAAAAAAGGTCATTACACTCCACAGAAAAAAACTGGGGAGCTGTTCTCACCCTACTGCACGTCTTTTAGGCAAAATGAAATAGGCACTTCCTTTAGGTGACTAAGATGAGAGAGAATGCTGTGAAAAGGGTGTGACAGCCAAATCCCAAATTCTCTAAGTTAACAGGAAGCCTTCATCAGCTTCGGTAGGATTTAGTCCTATTTGTGGCCATTTTGAAAAGCAAAGCAAAGTGGTCTTGGGAACGCTGTTGGCAAGCTGAGCTAACTGCAGAATGGTAATCACCAGCAGCAAGAACCGTGGAAAAAGACGAGCAGGCAGGCTGTGCGACTTGGAATGGGTTTCAAACTATTGTGGGAGCCTCTTTCATACCTCTGTTAAGAATGGAACAGTACAGTCATACACTGAAGACAAAAACAGAAAGGAATATTTTTCGATTTTCAAGAAAAAATGCTTCCAACTTCCTCCAGATACATATATTAACTGTAATGCTAAGTGAAAAGGTAAAATGAAAGATTGGTGCTGTGCAAAAGCAAGAAAAGTTGGCAGAGCCCACAGCCAGCAGGAAGCCTCATCAAAAGATTAATTAAAGCCACAGAAATCCTCTAGCCCACCAGAACCTCCTTTAAGAATATGCTTAGTAATTTAGCGGAATTGCTAATGATTTAGTGCATGAGCTACAAAGCTACAGCAATTAGTGGGTTAGTGCTCTCATACTGACCGTGAATTGTTGTGAAGCTGATTTACATACAGCTTTATAAGAGAATGCTCATCAGCCACAGGACTGGCTACATTTATACCCCCAAGTAACCTGAATGAGTCAAACAACGAAATCTTGTTAATACCCCTGAAAATATACACAGACAGTATCCCGTTCAAACTGAAATCAGTGCAGTAACTGCAATTTCTAATCTTTGAGAAAGAATACAGATTTGAGGGATTTTTTAATTAAAAAATCAATTTAAATTTATAAGTGTTCAAAATAAAAAATAATGAGAAAATTTGTGATGCACTTAAAATCCCACTAGGGTGATGAAACAAAAGTTAAAATAGCTTTCAATATATTGTTTTACATATCAGGGTACCGTTAACTCTAAAAAAAGTCAGAACTGACCACAGCATCATGGAAACTTTTTGCTGTACAAGGATATTATGCTACACACATATATGGCAGTTTGGGTACCTATGGTCTGAGCTTTTTTTAATGTCTCCTGCCTTTAGGGGATTCTCCATCAATCAGTCCTTGTTCTGGGAGAAAAGGAATTCTAGTGGCTGAGGAATTATATACATTTAATTCTGACAGCTAAAGACAGTACCTTGAATTACTAAAGAACCCAAAAGTAAAATAGTCAGGAATTATTCGTATGTAAAACAAAATAAGTAGCACGGCAGATACTGCTGTACACCTCCCTGTAGGTGCCTAACTAAAATGGTAAAGCAAACTTTTGCTGAATGAGCACAGGGACTTCTTGGGGACAAATAGAAACAAGAGCTGTGTCCACATTGCTCTTAATGACCTGTCTTGGAGGCACCACAGGTTATCCTGGCTTGCTCTGGCACATGGAATCCTATATGCAACAGTAGAAACAAATTGCCAGTCTCACTCTCTACACAGGCTGCAGATCTGGTCTTGGGCTCATGTCTGGGGCTGACCTTCAACAGGCATTGTAGGCATACCCAGCAGCAAGTTGCACTATGATAACAATGAGAATTTATTACCCCCAGTAACAAAGTTCATAAATCAAAGTAGTAGTAAAACACTTCGATGATATTGCAGTGTGGTACACTGTGGATTTGGTTTTGGTGTTAAAAATAGCCATGCACACCCAGAGATTGTGTTTGATTATTTTGGAACACTGAAGCATGGACACATACAGCAAGAACCAAGCGATTAAATGCACCCAAGGAAGACATATTGCTCATCTTCCTCAACACAGCAAAAAGTTATTTTTCTGCCATCTTCTCATCTATGTGCACTAGTAGGCTTACATAGATGGCATGAAACAGTTAGCGAATGCTACACACATATTTTGGCTGTGTGAGCCAAAATGTACATACTCAGCTGCAAGCACCTTTTCTTTGGAAAAGGAAAACCTTTTCTTTGTTTCTGACCACTCATATCTGTTTTGTTTCATGAAGGGTCACCACACTATTCTTTCTCTCTTGTAGTCTTCAATGGAAATGTGAATGGTTTAATAGGAGTAAGGAAGTCTTGCTATCTTAAAATCCTTGCCTTCTTTGGCTGAATGAATTTGCAGCGTCTGAGATAGTTATCTGATTTGCCAAGTACCAATAAGGGTTGAAACTAAATCACTGGGTCAGGAAAGGGCAGAGTCAGCACCAATGCTATTGCAATTTGACTGCATTTGAGAAAATTGTAACATGGTCTCACAAGGAACATAACGATACCTCTCAGGACAGCAAACCAGTACTCTGGCACTTCTCATAATTGGTCTGCAGGACGAATACATTTCACATGAAGACTTCAAAACTTGTTATTACAGGATTTTAATTTAGTAGTTGAAATGAATCTATGACACTAGATTATGCTACAAAATTGAGGACTGAATTTGAATCTTTCTCCAGGTTAGGGATGGCTGTTCCTGGGGGTCCCACTCTAAGTCCTTCTTAGTGATTGCCAAATTTATCTTCAGCATCAATGAACACAGCTTCTCTGTTCTATGCCCTACAGATCACATACCAGCTGTTATGGCCATATTTATTTAAACTAGGGGCACATATTGGAAATACAAAAAATTATACAGATTATACAGACGCAATATATGTTGAAGGAATTTTTTCTTCAGCATCCTCCAGACAGTTTCTGTGATATACGTAAGGACTGTGAGGACTCTGAGTCAAATGCATTCCCACTTGTGACATGACCGACACGAGCTAAACTTTGGCTCGTATTTTCGCAGGTGGCAAGCTACCGTTTCTACTCACTAGGTGCATGTACAGGACACAAATTAGTGCTATGATGTGATGCACTGGAAGTCACATGGCTGCACTAGTGAACAGGATAATAAACTCCGCTGAGATACAGGGGTTCACTAATGTGGGCAGAACGATAAGTTACTGAGCCTGCATTGCTTCTGGTCTGCAAGCAAGCCTGTTCAGAGCCTGCTGAGGTGTCTCTGCATGGTATTGCATTGCCTGATGTAGGCATTCCCAGTAGGCAATGTCATACAGGTCTCAGTTTCTATTCCCCACAGTGCTGCTACATCTGCAAAGCGGCTTGTCACCAACAGCCCATTTTCAACCCTTGTCAGAGGGTGCCTAGTTTGCACCTGAGCGCATTTAGTGGGACTCAGGGGTTCAAATAAGAGCTGAAGCTCTGTGCTCTGTGGTGGGCTTTGGAGTGTCCTAATTCTAGCTCTCCATCTAGCAATCTGGAGCTGATATCTGGGAATCCATCCGAAACGACGGAGGCATTTCTCTGCTCATATTCTGTTAATTTTGTACTACTGTTCTGGGGAAAAAAGTGAATTTAAAATAGAAACCTCCATCTTCCTCATATAATGGTATAATATAAGTTAGGATAAGAACTCACCTTCGGTTTGCAAAAGGACTTCCTGAGGGAACAGAGTGGGAGAAGAGTGAATCGTTCATGCTGGTTACAGGTCGGGGAGGCCTAGAAGAAGGCAAAATATCCAAATGTATTAATTTTGTACCAAAAAACCAATCAGCAACAGTATTTACAGAGAATTAAACGATCTTCTTGTTTAAAGTGATATTACTACTAGCATCTTCTGCTTTAAATAGCAACAGTTCCAAATCAAAGATGTTGTATTTTTAACCAAAAGTCAACAAAAACATACTGTTACTTAGGTCTGGAAGGAAACTATGTTTGTGTGCATTCTGAGTTGGATTTTAAGTAATTTACTTGATCCTTTTTCTTATTTTCGAAAATAATTACTATGTCATTTTTTCCTTCCAGAAAGGAAATGCAGTCCTGCCCTATGGTGCAGTCACTGCTTTCAACTAGCTAGGCTGAGCAGGAGTATTAGGTTAGCTCGGGCAGCATGGAGATTTGCAGGGGTAACTGCCGATGAATTGCACAGCTTTTCATATGATCATCTGTACTAAACTCTATGCTACCATATACACACAGTGGCTACAGTGTACCCACACCCTAGAGTGCCCCATTAATTATGTACAGTATAAAACTGGTTTAACTTTAAAGCTTTTCATCTGGTATTTAACATCTCAAAAGCAAAATTTAAAATATGTAGCTGGTTAAAAAGGACACATTAATAATGATGGCTTTATTATGACATTCTTCATTTCCTGCTCTTACTAAAAATGAAATGAGAAGGAATGTTGTCCTCTGCTTTCTTTTTATCTCCTAGTTTTAAAAACATTGTATACATAATCTGTTCTTCTGTATCCACCAAAAAGAAATTTTCTCTTCTAAATGGTCTTCTTATGCAACATTAGGCAAAAAATACAGACATTTTGAAAAAACTGAAAAACATGATACTAGAATCACAGGGATTTCAATAAGATATAAACAGAACCTGAAGCCACATATAAGTCAGACTTCAGATTGCCTAGATTTGAAGTTGGTTATTATCCCCTTTAAGCTCTGTGAAAGGCCTAGCTTGCTTTTTGAATTCTGCAAATGTACAAATCAAAATATAGTAGCCATCTCCAGAAAATCCACTGAACTCTGATTTTGCAGGACAACCAGTCATCCAAATCCTGCATAAGATATTAAGGAAGCCAGTTCCGCACAGAAGTGAACTATTAGTACATTATTTCCTTTCTTAATTTCTATCTGTTAGAAAAAAACACATAAATGTCTTCTTTGACAATTCCAAAGTGATTTCTCAACAAGAAAATACCCTACTGATTTTAACAAGTTTAAAATAGGCTACAGAAACATGCAGGGTTTTGCATGTTATTCCATTATAAGAAAATATACTTTTAGCCTAACCCTCTGTCTGCAGAACCATACAATAAACTCCAGAGAAACAGATGACTGTGTAGTCAATTTACTTATGGCCTAACAGTGAAGTGTTTAATACTATTTTTCATGGACCGGTTCACCAGAACTACGAGAAACTTGGATGAGGCCAAGAGGGATGCCAACAGAAATAGAAAAGTCCCTTTGGTATGAGTCTTGAAATACAGAGAAATTCAAAAGAAAACTTGGAAGGAATATTTAGAAACTGATCTTATTTAATTGGCAAGCAACTGGTATTTTGTGGGCTAGGAATCGTAAACCGGTAACTGATTTAGGAGCAACATTTCATACCAACTACATGCAACTACTGTTGTGCAGCTTTTTTTTCTTTTCACAGTGCAATCACTGTCCAGTGAATATATTCAAATACTGATTCTGCCCAGGCTGGGGTTTCTGACAGACGGGTGCAATGCTGGGCTGGGCAATCCTAGACTGCAACAGGGGAAGTGGGGAGAGGCTGGACCCCGACCCTCCCCCCAGGGCAAGGGGGCAGGAAAGGTGCCAAGATGGGGATCTGCCATTGTGACAGTTCCTGGTGAGGGCTGCGGTTTGGCTTGTACCTGATTCACCTCTGTTGCCTGAGTGGGAAGGGGGTACACTGTGCCCACGAACCTCAGCAGATCACCACATATCCACTTCAGGTTCATGTCTTCTCTAAGCTCCGTCCCAAAATACAGATGGAAGGGAGAACTTCTAACACCCAAGAGACCTCTTTCCTTTCACTACATCTCTGTATACAAAAGTAATTATTTCTTTGGTTCTGGTCTCTGACAAAGTTAGGGATTTGTAATGATGAGATTACAGAATTTTTGCAAGCTTTTTTCCTCCAACAAGTGTACTAAAGAAGAAAAATACTCACCAAGTATCTCTTTTGCAGCCAAAATGAAATGGAAAAGAGATCATTAATTAAATTGTCAGTTTAAAATGTATACGGTAAAAGTCGGGCACTGGACATACTGCGTTCTTATAACCCTGATTCTGCAAAAAGCACGAGAGACTCTATGCATAAAAAGTCATTGATGCTGTTTACATGTGCAGAGTTGCTCTTCTGTACAAATGCCTATAAACTTTAAGGCTTTGCTAATGGTCTTGTGATTAGCATTTGTTTTGAATTCTTCTATCAATAAAACTATTATTAAAACTAATCTGAGCTTTCCCAAGGCAAGTTTCTTAAAGCCTGGTGCCCACCATCACATTCCTCATGTTTGTTAAGCTTGGATATCAAATGGATGTTCAGGTATAAAATCTGACGTGTGACATGGTAAGACAAGAACAGCAGACTTTACGGTAAACCAAAGGAAAACTCTTAGCAATTGACTACAAATCTATACCCTTTGGAAGTCATTTCTAAACTTCTGGAAGTGAAGGGGTTAAGCCTAAGTTCTGGAAGTGAGTGGTTAAGCTTCTTGATGAAAATGAACTTAGGACACCCAATTAACTCTCCCCAAGGAGGCAGAAAACACTTAAAAATGCATTTACTGAATATGCTAAGTAATAAATGCATGCTATAGCATAGCACATGCTTATACTAAAATAAGATGTTAAATAACAGAAATTTTCCAAAGTGTTCCATGCTAGTCAAATCTTTTCACACTGGTACCAAAAATAATGGTCCCATGGGCTTATATGGAAATAAAGTCAGGCCAGTGCAGAATGCATTTCAAAATCCCTCCATGACACACTAATAACGTTATTTGTCATCTCTAGATCTTGGTGTTTCTTTTTTGTTGCCAATCTTACTTATAGAAAGGCAAAATGACCACTCAGAAGTTCCTCCATCACATTAACCACACATTGATAACTATTTTTTACATCCTTCCAAATGTGCTTTAGATGTGTTTCTTACTTAATTGAAAAATCTCTGTGGCACCCGTAAAACAGAAAAATTGTGCAGTCTTTCTGTGTGTTGTCACTCAAATGTGGAAGAACAACGAAAAGGAAAGGGAGTATAAAATGCATAGAGTATTTGCCCCCATTTAAGGTAGAAACTACTGAAAAAAGAATACCATTTTGTTGCCAGAATTCTTCCATTAAATGCATATATGAAAACCTTTTTGCCTGGATTCTTGCCCAGAGCTGTTTCTCACCTCTTATCTTCCATTACTTTTAAAGATAAAAATCACATCAGCAAGAAGGTATTCTCAATGAGGTACTGCAGCATATCTTTCCCCTCAATTAATTTATGTGTGTGACACTGTAGATCATGCTACCTGCACAACTTACAGGTTTTTCACTCAGGTGTCATAACACACAATATAGTTATATTGCTTTCAGTCTACTGATAAAGAAAAACTACATCATAAAACAAAATAGATGGTGACTCATTCTCACGTTCACTCACTCTAAATTATGTCTGCCTATTTAGGAAGAAGGGAAGCTGTTAATTTCAGAACAAAGATTTAGAACAGGTCCTACTCAGTAACGGTACCTTCTCTTTGCCTTGCCTTGCCTTGCCTTCCCTAAACGCATTTAATTCATTCGCAGTAGCCCAGTTTTTACTATCTGCTATCTGTAGGTACAGATAGGCCTTAGAAGGCCTCCAGGCAACATGAAGCAGAGGCTTCTGTTTCAGCTTCATGCTCTCTGTCTTTTTCCATTTCTCTTAAGGATGGCCAGAATCTGCCCTGTGAAATTAGCATTGACTCACCAACAGAGCTAGGCTTTTATAGTACGCTCACTAGCAATTCCATCTCTACATGTTCCAAAGAACAATGTGCCCCCATTACACTGCTATAAAGAGGTGCATTGATTTTAACTAACAATTGGAGTAACAAGGACTTGGAATTAAATATCTATCAGAGGCACCTCACATTTTAAAAGCAGAGGATTCTTTCCTGCCTTGGAAAAGTCCCATTATGCGTATCCTACACAAGGAAGACCATCAGCGTAAACTATCCTTAAAACGTCAGGTAGGTTAGATGAATTCTCAATGTGATATACAGCTCACGATGGCCTGTGGGCACTTATCCTTAAAGGTGCTACATAAAAATGTTCAGTACTGACAAATATAAATACATATAATAATTACAGATAGGAATAGTTTCAGTATCCAGTAACTCAGGTATATAGCATGCAAATACAATTACAATGGCCGTTGCCTGAAAGGCTTCAATCAGTGCCCCTGGGAAGGTGACTGAAAATATAAAAGAACAGTCTTAAGAGAAGTATTTGGAAGATAGTACTTCTAGAATAATTTTCCCAAATTTTCCAAACTTTTTTCCTACCAATGTCTTGATTTTTCCAGAATTCTTCGGAAAATTTAACTTTTTTCTTTTTTTTTAAGGACTAAAGGAGCAAAGGTAACAAACTGATAGATGAGAAAATGTGAGCAACTGCTAGTACAGGTGGTGGACATCCTTTAGAAAAAAGACATCTGAAGTGACGATTTCCCCACCTTGCACAATTATATTTTCTCTCTACTATGAGTTGCTTGATTCCTGCAGAGAAAAATTAATGACACAAACTATTTTACCAAATGCTACTTTTGCTTCCCCAAGATATCAAACTAAAGATAATGGAACCTTTTCAAATTACTTTGTAATTAAAGACACAAATCTTACGCAGAATCACATAGCTAGTCTTCAGGGCCAGGTGAAATCACAGTTCCACTTAAGTCAGTGAGAACTGACACCGATTTCAACAAAATTGGTCGGCTTCACTTTTCTCTAGTGCCTCATCGTAAGACATACATGAGATAGATACACTGAAGTTTAGAGTCTCTAGACGGCAAAATGAATGTCCTAAGCATGAATACATCCCAAAGTGCTAAATACTGGACCTATATGAAATCGCAGGGATATTTCTTCTCTGCTTCCTACGAGAATGGGGATACACACTATGTCCCAGTATTTGTGCAGGTAACATGAACATATTCCACTGACTTTTCAAGTTAAGTCACACAGAAGAACAGCTTTATATCAAATACCTCTGTGGGTGAATTTGCACTTGTGATGCATTGAACTTGATCTCACCTCGTTGCCTTCCATTTTGTTCAGCGTTATCTTATCTGCACTAGATGTAAGCAACACCTCAAACAAAGCTTACTTTTTCTACAGCACACAGATACTTACACAATATGAGCCAGGTTTAGAGGTTTTTCAGGCTGGTCAGGGAACATTGGGTGCAAAGGTTCACGGCTGGAAGCACAGCTTAAAGACTTGCTAAGTGCATTAGTTAGCTTCTTAGCAGGTGATTTCTGGGAGGAACAAGGAAGGTAGAGGTAATCCGGACAAGTAAGGTGCATACTGTTTCTACTAAAGGAAGCACAAAACAACAGGTAGCTCTACTGCTTATATTCATATGGTCTTATACTCGCCCTTTCCCTTCCCCACCACTGCCCCAAGAGTCTAGTAAGCTGAAGACCACGCAGACTAGCGGAAAGGTTACTCTTACCTTCAGTGGCCCTTCAAGTAGGCTCTACGGGGGGATATATCTATATGGACATATGCAGATTGCCACGGGTTCTCTGCAATGTCGTAGTCAGGTAATATTGAATAGTGAAAGACAGCATAGAGTTAATGTCTCCTGGCGAATAGCTTGTACCTCATCAACTTAAGAGCGCAAGCACAAGAAATTTTCTCGTGCCTGTCCATATAGATACACTGCACGAGACAGTTTCCTTTCTAGTTATGGGCCAGATCCAAGGCTGTTATATTCTTTCCTCCTCACTAGTGTTTCCCTCCTCAGTGTCCTGTACTCATTAGCTGTTGATCCAAAAGTCTGCTCTTGTCTCCCCTAGAAGCCCTGGCCCCCGCTAGGCTGGGAAAAGCAATGGGGACAGGGAAATTTCACACACAGTACGGCCGGAATAGCACTGGCATGGCAACAGCAAGCAACAAGGGGCTGAAACACTTCCATTGTTACCAAAAAACCGAGAGGCTCTGTGCATAAAACATGCTTCTCAGCCTCAAATCTTCCCACAGCGCAAGCCTAAAAAAACTACCATTTTTTGCTTTCTAGTTTTCTTTAGACATTCTTTACAATTGATCACGTTAATAGAGAAGTCATCCTCCCAATCACAGGTCCTTTTCTAAGGTAGATTGATCCTGAGACTGCACAGGGCTCGGAGATCTGGGAACTCGTCTAGGCTCTGCGAGAGATTCTCAGAGAATTCAACACACCTTTCTGTGATTCACTTTCTCTATCAGTTAAACAGAGGCTAATGATCCTTATGCTGTATCCTCCCCCAAAATACAGGTCAATGTGCTGAAAAGTTAAAATGCTTTTAGAGCTTAACAGGAATGGTATTATAGATGCACACACATCCCTCAAAGTTATTACTGTAATCAAGATAATAATGAAATATTTCTATTACAGAATCCTAATCTAAATGTGTAAAATGCAGGCTTTCTTTCTTTTTCATTATAAATGCAATTTCACTTTGAATTTAATCAGCTGAATTCCACCATGCATCTGAACACCTTCAACCCGCATGCGAAGCTCGATATAGAAGCATTATGGAGAATGCTAACCTGTTCTGAGCGAATGCTAATAACACTACAGAAATGCAGTTTCAAACTTGAAGGAGAACATTTGTTTCAGACAACAAAACACTGGGAACCACTAGGCATGCACTCACGTTTTGTTTTCTGCTCAGCAGAAATCCTAAGTTTTGAAATAATTTCCTACCTATAATTACAGCTCCCTTGCTACAGCGAGAAATAATTTTATAGCACACATTGCTACTCGGAGCGGAATATGAGCTGCGTAGCGGGCACCTCCCTACTCGGACACTGCACTCAAGTCAGTCATGTCTATGCAGCTAGAAGCAATTAGGACCCAGTAACACATTTACAGACCCAGATCTGCTAGGAGGCAAGCGCAGGGCTGTGTGACAGGCATACAGAGCACATCACTTAAATTTAACCCTTGCCTGCTCCAGCCACGGAAAGGCAGATGTTGCAAGGATCGGGGCTGTAACTGCTTGTGGCAGGCTTGAGAACTTTGTAAAAAAGATATACGCAAAGCCCTGTACGTACATGAGTTTTGGCCGCCTGCCTCACGTTCTTTTTGGTCACAATATACTTCTGTAATATTTGGGGTTAGTTAGAGTTTCTCTGCTGATGGTTCGGGCCCTGGAGGATGGGGTTTCCCAGTGACCGAGGGCTTCTGCTAGGACTGTGCTCCCACGCATGGAGCGCTCAGCGCCTGGAGCTGGTGCCCTGCGCTCAGCGCCCAGAGTTGGTGCCCTTTCGAGAAGGCTGATGTAGCTCTTGATATTTTTCAGTCAGCTAAGCAAAAGTGTTGAGTTATTTTGTTCAGCAACGAGAAAGAGCTGACATGTGGTTTTCCCTCTAAGTCTGTGACCATGCTCGAGTCTACCGTGCCAGGCCCGCACCAAATGCTACACATATGCCGCAGCCACTTGATTGAAAATATTGATGAACGCGCGCTAAGCATGCATCATGGCATCCACGAGCGGCCAACAGCGCGCCGAGCAGAGGCCGCCGGCGACAGGCGTCCTGCGGAAAGGAGAAAACTTACTGTGAGCAGGCCCTCCGCCACGCTGCCGTTCAGCGCGGGCCGGCACTGCCCGGCGGCTCCACTCCACCCTCAGAAAATTTCAGGCGGCTCCTCTGCGCCCGGCGGGGCTCGAAGCGGTGCGCAGCGAGGCGCGAGCCGGCCCTTACCCATGACGTGTACTCTTTCATTTGGTGCTGGTTGCTGTGGGAACCGCTGGCGTGTCCTCTCCAGAAGCAGTCCTGACAGAGCTGGTAATTGTGGCACTGCTGGCACCGGTAGCGAAACCCCATCATGCTCTCGCTGTGGCAGTACGAACACTCGACGGGGTGGAAGACTGCGCGGGAGAAGACACGGCACAGTGAGCCCAGCCGGAGGGACCGCGGGGAGAGGTTTCGGGAACGAAGCCCCGAACGGAGGAGCGAACCCTTTCCTCGTCTACAGCAGCTTGCAGCAATGAGTGCCGTTGGCAGCTCTGCCCCACGGAGATTGCCCTGCGAGAGCTCGACGAGTCCGCGAGGAACCTTCTCTGCGCTGGGCCCCAAACCCTTTTATCGCTCTGAACCAGCGCCTCCACCTCCTGTGTGCAGCACCAAAAAGCTGCGTGTAACCGAATGCATCACAGAGGAGACACATAACTGAGAAAATCCCCTTCACCCTTTCAGCTGCGTTACTCGGGGAGGTTTTGCTGCGCTGTTAGCAGCGGAGGCAGTGAGCCTCAGCGTACAAATCTAACAACGCGGGTGTCTGACTATTGGAAGCACAAAATGTATTTAGGCATATAGCTGTCTCTTCTGATTACCTGTGGCTCATCTGTACTAACTGACAGCATTTTAGGTACCTATATATGGATTTAAAAATTTACCTCTGGATGCCCAAATTTGAAAATGGGCCATGGAAGGGACCAACTTGGTCTTGTTCTTTATTCTGCTCAGAGGCAGGTAATAATGAGCACGTTAAGGCTTAGGGACTTTTCCCCCCAGCCGCAACATTTTGAACCACTTTCCTGGCAATACTGCTCTTTCTCTTCCTCTCTCCTCACTATAGCATGTACCAAATTTACCAAGGGGTACTGTACATCTTGTTTCTCCCAGGCATATTCTGTTTTGCTGTCTTAACGCTCCATCTGGGAGGATTTGTGATAAGTGCAGAGTGTGTCAAATTTATATTTTCCCTGCCAGGATTTTGCAGCACAAAGGGGTGGGAAATGGTGGAAAGCTGATGGGGGACAGGGGTCGATGATAAGAGCCTGAGGAAGGCCGGACTGATAGCTGGGACGGTAGACAAGAAGGACTTGGCAACATCATCCTACCCACCTTATTGCCTCTTAACTGCAGTGGTGATTCGGTACACGCGCGAACACATACGACTTCCTCCTCCTCCTTTCAGCACCAAAAAGATGGCTGGGCACTCCCACTTCCTATAGCCCCAAATCTTGTTGGCGATATGGTATAAATATTTTTATTTTCCACCTGTGTGAGTATATATGACGTTTTCTGCCTCCTGTCCCTGCTTCTTTTTCCCTACGGTGTCCGAAAGCTTCAGTTACGCTAGAGGCAAATCTTCATGGAGTAACAAGACAGGAACATTCACCAAGCACCTTACACAACAACCTCTGAGGCAAAATACAGGGCGGGAAATTCGTTTGTTTTAAACACATTTATTTATATTGCTAAATTGATATTTTTATTTTTTCCTGTATAAATGCCCTCTGTTTTTAAATTTTCCTTTTTCTAGAGATACAGTGTTGGAATAATGACTGTCAACACCATTTCCTCCTAATGATCATAAGCAAGACATGTCACATTAGCAACAAGTACACCCAGCTAAACAAGAAAATAAGGATGCACATACTATCTTGTAGGTTTTTTTTTTCTATTCAGTATTAGCAATGCTGGTCCTTTCTGGACAGCAGAAGCACACTGGCTTGGTGCTGGGGAGCTCTTCCAGAACTACGTGGGGAACTATACAGTTTGCAGGCTGCAATTTGGTAGCCACACACTGCAGCGAGATCCACAGGCTTTCTAGCTCTGCCCCTGCAGTTTCAGCATGGCAACATGGTCTGTGTCCTTCTAGAGAGAGTACATGAAGGATTTAGCTGGAGGGCCTCTACATTCATGAGTGTGAGCTTACTTTTCCTAAGGTATTGAAGAAGAAACGGCAAGGCTGACAAAGATCTTATTGTCCAGGGACATGCAACCTGCACCATGCAATAATCAAATTAGTTGATTTTCCTGGCCCTTTCCTGTCTTAAAATCAGAGATCTATTCATTTTGGGGAAAGACAATACTTAAGCAGAAAGAGGCAGTTAAGTCCTTACACTTCACACAAGCAACTTTACACTGCGCTGGACTTCTCCTGCCAAGTATACTGCATGAAAGGAAACTGCCAAGCTGTTCCTTTTCTACTGCCATATGTCATAGCTAATAAAAACTGTGGCCTTGATTGTTCACCAAACGTAAGTGTGTGGATGCATCGAGTCCTATCACTCTTTGCTTATCCAGAGCACAGGAGGAGAGGACACAGTCTGGATAATTTCTTGAGCACAGGAAAATTAAGCCATATTCCTGGCTGAATCACCAACAGGATACTTCAAACATTTTACCACAGACTTAACAAATGGCACATGCATTCAATAACCCCAGTACAGTCCTACAAAATCATCCACAGAGTGAGATAGCCATTGCACAAAATTTTACTGCTGCAACTCTTAATTTCTTGGGCAGCAGCTGTTACTTACCGTTTTCAACATTTGCCAGTCGATGCAGAAGTGGTAACCACACTAGACACTGTGGCGGGGGATCAGACATGAGAGTATCCAAGAAAGTGTTTAGTGTGACTTTTTTCTGCTCAAATAAGCAAACAAATATGCACAAAAAAATCAGTAATCAGACATATCAAAATGATTGCAGATTGTTCTTATAAATATAACACTTGGGAACATGCTTCAGATACTGTTTACTTGTAACTTTCGCTTACTAAAAAGAACAATTGATATTGCCAAAGGCTTTACACACTATTTTTAGTAGTTACAATGTATATATTACTGATGACTAGCAGTCCTTGTCATGAAGCTGGGATAGTGACACCTAGCTCTTGTTCACTTCAAAGACTCTTTTCTAAAGTCACTGCCTGAAGATCCTTTGTGAATAACGTCCACATTCAACTTTTCAGGTTCTTATATGTTTTAAGTGCCAAATAATAAATACATGTGCATGTAGGTATTACTATGTATTACCAATTTTCAAATGAAAAGCCCTACAAACAATGAATGATAAGGGAGTATAATTTCAGAAACAATGTAGGGTATGGACAGACCATCATAGGAGACTGAGTTAGTGTGATTTAAGAAACTACTGCTTGTCTGTTGAGCCGTGGCAACTGGTCATGGGTGAACGCTGACTGTGGGATTTGTAAGCATTTGCATACACTCAATGCCTGCAGCTGACTTGACCGTTCCTGACCTGTCTGTACCCTTAAGCACCTAAAGGTCTATGCCCTTTGAAAGGTCTTTCAAAGAGATTTCAACTCTAAAATATCCCTGTTGATTTAAAAAGCAGAACCTAAGAGTTTAAGTTTCTTAGATGTCTGGAAAAAGTCATCACAGTCATCATCTTAGTGCAGTTGTTTTTGATACATATATGTAATATTTCATCCTGATAGGTTCACCATAAATACCTGCTCTTTCCTGAATGTGATACACTGGCTACATAGTGTGTACTAAAGTACACAGTTACCAGTTGGTCAAGGATGGAGAGTCCTTAAGAAACCAGTAGCTGATGCTTCCTCTCAAGTAAAATTAGATACAAAAATATTGATTCTTCTTAAGAATGCCTACAAATATCCTTTAAAGATACACATATTTAAGTGGCATCCTCATCCAAAGGGATTGCTAAATCTTCATATCTGATTGCACAAGCTACTGCTTTAACCAGATAAAAAACTGTGGTTACCCCACGAGAAAGAAAAACAGTAGCTATGCAGTAATATATATCACCTCTGTGTGTTGTGGAGTGCTTTTAAGAGCTAAGATTTCAGACAGAGATTTCCAGCAGTTATATACAACTGCAGCCAGATACAAAGAAAATCATTGCTCTTATACATAGAGGGATCACTGGACAACATCTCACTCTGTAACAGTTTCAGGGTTGAAATATTGCAGGATATTGGGAAATATATACAAATTTCTGCCCTTAAGAGAAAACATTTCAGATAAGTTGTGATGATCAGCGTTCTTAATTCTTTAATGAATAGAAATAGCCAGAATATGAGCTTTATGTCTCACTGAAGTACTGCCTTTTCCACAAAACCTGCAGTATGAAAGCCCAGACATGTCGTCCTATGAAGAGGAACCAAAACTGCGTAAGTCCCTCAAAACTGTCTTTGTCCATGTGGTATCAGAATAGCTACCATCTGCTTGTCATATGAACGGTCTTCCCATCTTTGTAGAGTGGATAAACATTTCCCTAATAAGTATTCTACGCTGTAAGTATCAGCTCACAGAAAAGCATCTTTCCGAAGGAGACCTTCAGCGGATGGTTGGCACGCTTTTGCTGACCAATGCCATCAGCAAATGTCAGTGTTGTCTGCAGCGGAACTCAAAACTGAGGGTGAAAAGGCAAAACTGAAACTAGGAAAGGAAGAGTCATCCAATGTTCCATATTGCAAAGAGCAGCCTGAAGTCTTCTCCGTGCTCTTGAAGTTGGCACAGAACTGCTCTGAACAAGCAATGGGGAGACAGGACAGTTCTTCCACAATGGATTAGCTTTTGAACGCAGCTATAATTTAAAACCTAATTTGCACCAAATAAAACAATTTGGCTTCCCTGACAGCCTTATGGACAAACTTCTTCGGTGGTCACTGACTTTATGGATTAGAGAGAGCAGTATCCCTTAAAAGGACAACAAGAGAGCAATTCCCATACATTATAAAGGGCATATTTTCCTCCTGCAGTTTTTTTATCCGCTGCTGGGAAAGTTGAAAGTGAAAGCTGTTTTCTAAATGTATGATGCACGCAGATGGAGTCTGGGTTTGTGGAACAACACTTAGCCAAGTGATAACAAAATGAAGCTAGTGTCTATCTTTTTAGCTTGGGATAAAAAAAGAGAAAGAAAAAGTGTTTTCTATTATAATAACACTTTTTAGGATGAAGGCAATATCATAGTACATTAATTCTACCTATGGGGGAAAGTGGTGGCTATAAAACTCCTTTTTGAGCCCCAGATCCGTGTTCTGAAGCATTAAATCACTTGTTCTGGCATTTCTGTTCCATAAATTTGCTTGTGAGGAAACACTGTAGTTTCTATTTTGAACAGCCATTCCCTCTAATAGTGGTTCACAGACAGAGGAAAACACATGGTTTAATCAAATAAATCAGTGCAATGGGAAACAACCAAACATTTCTGCAAACAGGATGCACATTGAAAGGGATTTAACATCCTGTGCAGAAAATCATTCACAGAAATTTTTTTTTTCCTGAAAACTGACGAATCTACAGATTAGAGGGCTGAAAGGCTTCTGGTAAGCAAAAGTGATCCACACTGAGAGCAAACAAAAGGGGATACCTGAACAACCTGCTCATTCCCCCTTTCATTCCATGGGGGGACACTGACTAGAACCAGACTGACTCAAAATGCACTGAAGTACTAAACAAAAAGAGAGTGATTCATGGACATGAGAGTGAGAGGTCTCATCTACACAGCAGAGAATATGGATTCAGTCAGAAATATGCCCAGATGTTCTGTTCTAGCGAAGGCGGGATCTAGGTTTAGAAGCAGATGCGTAAGAGCTTCCTTGGATAACCACAGTACCAATACTCTGTTACAAATAAATGCTCAAACATGGCATTAGCCATAATGCTATCAATCTAGCTTCCTAGCTGTGGATAAAAGGTAGTCAGAATTATCCCAATTGCTCATATCCTGTCATTTCAAAGCTTTTCTACACAGTAGGAGATTTTCCAGGACTGAATTTTTTTGTCTTTCAGGTACTGCAATGAAAAATTGTCAACCTTCTTTTGGAAGACAGTTAAAAATAATATTTCAGTTTTGAAAGAAAAATCTGTTTTTATTATTTTTATTTTTACCAGATCCAGAATCTTAAAGACAGTCTCTGATAAAACTGAGCTTAATCTTCAAATCTACTACATTACAGCTGAGTAGCTGAAGTCTGAAGTTCCCATTGAACGTTGAATGTTGCATTAGTTGGCACACGGAAAGATTAAAGAGCGGTATGGCCATTTCTCTGATAACATGCTAGCTCAGCTCTTTCCAAAGGAATTGTTCAACCTAATCACATTTCTCAGATATTGTGCTACAGTAAAATGAAGAAGTTTGCCCAGGATGGTGATATTTTGAGGCATAAAACTGTAAGGAAATGGAAGCAATAAAGACAACAAAAATGTAGTAGAATATCAGAATGAACGTGCTAATATTGAGATCTTTGGATGTACAACCTAACGGGAACAGAAAGAAATTCCCTCACTTGAAACTTTAAAAACTGGACTGGAGCAGTAATGTCTTAATAATGTAAGGAAAAATCCTGTACTCATAAATGTGTGATATTTCTTTCTATTTTATCTGATGAAAGAACTCCACCAGAATATTTGAATTTCATGAATGTTTAGAACAACATAGGAAGTGTCAAACTTATCCCAAGGCGTCAGCGGAAGACTGAATGACCTAAGGTGTGACTAAGACTCTGTGGGTACCGTTTATCACAGTGTCATAGGGCTATGTTGTTCAGAGTTTCATTTCAAAACTCTGCTTCATCCCTGGTGCAGCACATTACAACAATTAAATTAAGTGAATGTAAGGGAAACATTAGTCTAGTGCCTTTTTGGAAAATATTTGTTTCTTAAGGCAACTTTGTATATCTGATTTGCTGTCATTTGGATGAAAAGTCAAGGAAAGGGCCATTTCTGATGGCTGCCTAGGTAGAAATTGAAGCCTGAACGAGATTTTACAAGAAAAAAGGAGAAATTGCTTTCTGATCTTTAATAATACCGTGTCTAATGTTCAAGGCTCAAATGCTGTGCTGACAAAGGAAGAGTATTGTTCTATTATTTTAACATAAAACTACCAAAAGTCATTTCACTATGTAGATTCTTCAACATAATATGAAGTGGTATCTTAAATATGTCTCTGTGAAACAAGATTATCTCTAAATATGCAGCACTGCTACTTAAAATTATTTGGGAGATGATTCAATGAATGAATTTCAATAGTCTTTCAGCTGACTGGAGTACCTATTGATTAGTGATGAAACTGAAGGAAAACAAAAAATGAGATTATTTTACATGAAAGTAACACTATTCCTGCTCCATTCAACTTATTTGTTCAACACTATCGAGTTATATTTTGGCAGCAAATGGAAGAATAAGAGAATGAAAACGCCCCTTTTATTTCTAACACTTCCCCAATTTCAGCATCTTCCATTATTTTATGCTTATAGCATTACTCAGTGTGGCAAGAGCTAGAAGAATTCTCTCTTTCCATTGCTTAGAGAAGCGGTCAATCAGCCACAGGTACATTATGGGATATCCTGAAGTGCTAGTCAGCGCACCCATACACTTTGATGTGTTGTGGAAAATCTCATATTTTCTTCAGTGCAATTTCATTGTTTTTCTGACTCTGTCTCCTTGAGGATATCTGTAAGGGGATAGGGATTTGGCATTGCCTACCAACTCTCATTTTCAAAAAAGGTTTAAGACGTCACAGAATGACAGAATCACAGAATGGTTGAGGTTGGAAGGGACCTCTGCAGATCATCTAGCCCAACACCTCTGCTCAAGCAGGGTCACCTAGAGCACATCAACATAACTTTCTAGTCATTGCCAAACTTCCTGCATGTGTAGCCCCTCATTTGAACAATGTAGCTTGATTTTTGGAGAGAGCTGGGCTTTATACGGTGAAGGTGACGTCTCATATGTGCTTGTAACAACAACAACAAATTGCAATGAAGGACTGCACGACCTGGGGCATTCACATTACCTAAATGTAAGTATCTAACGAACGTATGTGTTCAAATTAGGAGGTTAGTCTCCTCAGGCTTCCTAATTTAGGAACATTTAAGTTGGGTTCCTGTTCTGAATCACTTTTTGGCTAAGCTTCTCTCTCTCATCTAACTATATAGGGAACCCTATAGAGGCTAGCCTCCTAGTGTGTGTACCTAACCAACGTATGTGCCAGAAGGTAGAAATGTGAATCTCCCCTCCACCCAATCATGTATTTCCTGGGTGAATATGCACGTATGTGTAAGAAAGGAAGACAGTCACAGTTTGCCTCGAGGTGTGACTGACAGTGGCTGTCTAGGATGCTTGCTCTGTCTTTACCTGTTGCGAGAAACAGGATTTTGCTGATTGCTCTGTATAACCAAATGAAGGCCCTTCGAAAACAGCAGTGGGCAGCTTGAGAACCTCCCGCAGAAACATGTCGTATCTGCCATAAACCATCACTCCACTGGAGTCTGAAATCATTGAGAAAATATCTGAAGGAGAAAAAGACAAGAAAAGGAGAAAGCTACTTCAGTTGGAGCTACAGGTTTGCTCTTAAATGCAGTAATATTGATTTGAACCAAAAGTGCTAAACACTTTTAGCACTTTTAGCACTTCAACATTTCTGCTTATGGAAACATCCAGTAATACTGTACCTTTAATTTAGCCCCACTTAACAGAAACCAAAGAGAATGATCCATATAAAAGTAGCTTATCTTGGCATTAACATTTCCCTGTTTTCCTCCATTGTGTGTGGCCATTCTTTCTAAGTAGAGTCTGATGCACTGCATGAGGCAGTAATTTAACCAGAAAAGGAAGATCTAATTTGACAAGATATGCAATATCAAGTTTTTGCCTATTGCCAGTTTACCATGTAAAAGCTAAATCTTGACAATGAGTTCATTAAATTACTTATTGTTGTGGACACCCAAAACACTGAAGATCTTTCAAATGCATTATTTGCCTTGTTACCCTTTTTTGTCTTTTTGTTTACTTATAAAAATATCCCAAAGTTTTATTATCTAACAGAGTTAGATAGAGTTGCATGTTTCTCCTTTCTCAGCCTTCACTTTTCCCCTTATTTAAAAGGATCCTAAGCTCAGCAGAGGATCACAGATGAAGGGACATTTGACCATTTTTCAAGCTGGAATGGCAACCGCTTCCTTTCCATGAACCTGCAATAGCTATTCTAATGACATGACCCTGGAACCGCTAACAGAAAACCTGCATCATATTCCAGCCTTCCACTGGATAGTCCCTTCTCCTTATTCTTAGTGTCCTAAGGAACAAACTGTGTTCATTTACAGCCATTCTATACTTGATTCGCTACACAGAAATAACATACTAAAAAAGGGTACCAAACCTGGAAGCCTAAATTAGCATCTGGGAATCTCTACTTGTTAACTTTAATCAACAACAGATTGTAAACTTAATTTCCTCTAGCTGTGGTGGAAGGCTCAGAGGAAGCTGAAGGCTGAAGACATTAATCCTTTGGACAAAAAGTCTGGAAAATGGTGTTCTGGACCTGAGCTAGAGACATCACAGCACGACACAGAAAAACATTTCAGTGCTGCTCCAACTAGACCGTGTCTTGGCCGTCTGGGAACTAAGAACAGATTCTGTGAAATGAGAAGCCATTCTGCAAAATACACGGAATTAATTTGTGCCCTAGGAAAAGAAATATAAAGAGTACATAATGATATTGTACTTTTAAGCGTGAAATGAGAGGTATTATTAAAAAAGTCTGAAGAAATTACTAAATGATGCTTTATGATGTTGAACATTTGAGGCATCTGACTGCACCCTGAATCACCCCAAAGAAAAAAATCAAATTTTCACCCATTAGAACTAGAATATGTGCATGACTGGTCTTCAAAACTATAAAGTCTGTTGTGAAACTCAGTCAGCTTACTTGGACTTACTTGGAGGTGTAGTTAGCTCAGATCCCAAACCCAGCCATGAAACTATAACTTACTCTAACTCCCTGCTTCCCTACATGCACTGTTATCTCTCCAAGTACAACAACGATTAGCACATACATAAGTATGCCCCGCAGAAGACTTACATCTTAATTTGTCCATGATCTTTCCTCCACAAAGAGTCGCCAAAGCCATTTTGACAGCAAAAACGGAAATTTTACCATGTCCTTCCCTGTTCAACAGTAGAAAGTAATCATATTTTGTAATAAGGACAGCATTCCATGTAAAGTGTATATCATTGACAGGACATATTGTAATACACTAGGTGGATTCACACACGAAGATGTTTAAGACCTTTAAAATTAAAGTTTGTGTTGTGGGAACATACAGCACATCAGCACATTGTTCTGTGAAGATTTCAGACCAGATGTATTGATGTATATGTATCTCAGAATTAAACTCCCTATCTCATTATCTGTTGAGATGATTAGCATTACTGCTATTTGTGCTACAGTAGCACTGAAAGGCACCTGTCAAAATCACAGCCTCCCTATTCTAAGTGCATTGTGTATCTTCTGTCCCTAGAAGATGATTACCAATGAGTGCAAAAATCAACACTCTGGGGAAAAAAATGAAAAAAGCAGAAGAGGATCACATGACTGCACAAGTTGGCTATTGTACCCCTTAATAAGTCCCAACAATTGCCTTTTAAATGGATACATAGGACTTTCACGACCTTGTAGCGAGGATTTTGTTGAAAAGTGGGCAATGAACCTGCATCCAGAATTAGCAAAGAACACTTGCTTTGACATGCAGAAGGGTCTTGTCCCCAGTCTGGTCAAACTGTGGCTATGGCTGGCCCTCTTCTGGCTTGCATGTCTGCTATTTTCAACTGAAAATGAATAATGTTATTCAACGTTTCAACCTGAAACTAATCACGTTAGTAAGCCTTAAATACACATAAGGAGTATGCCATACAGGCAAAAAGTTATACGTTTTTCCTATAAATCCAGTCATGATCCAGGAAAGGGAAAAGACTTTTTTTCTCCCAGAAGGATCTGACCATATATTGTACTCTGAGGACACGCTCTGTTACCTTTAACACATTGCTGACCACTTCATTCAACTGTGCTGAAGCATGCAATGACATAACTTCATTGTTCCTCTTGCCATTCCCTCGCATTTTCCCTCCATAGCCCTGATGGACCCCAGTGATTATCTGCCACTACAGAAACCTTGGTATATTCTTATTGCATGAGTAATTTACTCCATTACACAGTGCAAGGCACTCCTAACTCCTAAAAGACCTACCGCTTCAGTTTAGGTAATACTAAGTACAGAGTGTCCACAGCAATGGCAGAATGAAAAGGGTACAATGTTCAGTCCCTTTCAGAAGGTGAAAATGAATATGTCCTCTAAGGTTAATCTGCTTCTTAATACTCATTTTTTTGGCCTCCAAATGTTGAAATGCGTGTTTTTTTCTTGGCGTTTTCAGAGTCTTCCTATAAGGCAGTCAGAGACAACAGCTGCACTGGAGCACCATATCTTTATGTTTCAAACTCCTTAGCATTATTTAATAGCTTTGTATATGTCTGTTTAATGGCATCATAGAGGACACATTGTCATCATGATTTTAAAGAGACATAATCAGTCCATATTTGCCAGCTTAACCCAATGGCAACCATTTCTCCTTTCAGATTCTACTTAGGGCTAATAATGGGACTAGACGGCAAGATTCTTTTATCATTTTATGGAAGTGGAGGTTCTGTGACCTTCAGGCTCTATTCTGTTAGGGGATATTATGTTTATAAGGGATTTCCTATTAAAATATATATAATTATCTCTTGCCTTACATTCTCCAACTGCACTAGCAACAGCAATATATGGAAATTTAGCTCTCCATCAATATTTATGAAATTACTCTGTTGCTTGTCACTCATAATTTTAATGAAGAAAATTGCATCTGATCAGGACAAAAAGATAACCGATTCTGGAAAGACATAGAACCTTCATTGTATCTCTCTGCTTATCCCAGAGACTAACACCATAGCATACGCAGTAGACATAAATGGTATATTCATTTCAGTATATTAAAGCATGCTACATGCTTCACTGCTGTGTTCACTGTAAGTCACTCAGACTTTACAAAATGAGTCAGTTCCCTAAGCTTTGCTAGCTAATAGTGTTTATGGTTGAGTGAATTGGATTTAGTTCCATCTCAGTGTAACACATGATTCTAAATATTAATTTTAAATATTTTTACACGCATTGAACATTTTGCTTTTGTCAGAAAATCAACTAGAGATGTGGACAAAAAGAAATAAATTCACTACTTCAGTATTTAAGAAATAACTCTTTCTTATCTTTACTATTATTTCAATGCTGGGCTTGGTGTGCATTTTCTTTTTCAATACATTGTGTTGTCTCTGACTGACTTCAAAAGACTAAAATCACAATATAATACCTCAGAATCTATTTTAATCTCTTGTATTTCCATTCTTCATTGGCTAGATTCTCGCTTGCGCAAACTGGCACTTAGCAATGCTGTAGCTATGGCTGAGAATTTGGTCCTTTTGTGTTCTTTTTCTGTGTGATATCCTTTAGATCTTTGGGACTTTTTCTGCATTCAGTGTTTTAGCATGAGGTTTTCACCTCCGTTTAAAAGAGCTATGAGAGTTCAGAAAAATAAATGCTAAGTGGAAGCAATTGCATTATTAAGAAGCACTGAAAGGTGAAGAAATTAAGCCCATGTGGAAATGCTTCAGATTTAGATATTTTTCCCAGTAGGTTTAGTTACATTTACTAACAGGATTATACTCCTGAATGGCAGATACATCAACTCACTCGCCTTCAGCTTTCCACCCCAGAGCCATTGTTTTTTCCCACATTCAAACAGTTACAGAACAGAGGAATAGAAAAAGTAAAGATTTCATTTCTCTCTTCAATCTATCGTTTTGAGTTGATTACTTTTGACACCGTATTTTGTCTCAGTCATTTGTATTCATAAAATCATCACCAGTAGAAATTCAATTTGCCCCCCGAAATATATGCGTATACATGTTTATGTGCATACATATACACACACGCATGTACAAATACATATGACTGATGAACGGGCAGAGTACTGGGGCCTAAGACTTTCCAGTATCCCTTGGACCCAGAAATGTCCTGAGCTACTGCCAAGTACTACAAGATCCGCTTGGTTGGCAGTACTGGGGCTGCTTGACTGAAGTGCTGCTGCATAAAAGCAGTGGCTGACAGCGGCATGCAATTCTCTGTTGAACTCAGTGCTCCCTAAGTGAAGCTTGAGGCTAGCTAATGCAAAGAGATATAAATTTTATTAACTGAAATAGGAGAGGACAGAAAATATTTTGATTTTATAGAACACCTCTGATACTGAAGTTACCCTTCAGATCCCTGCAGAAAAGCAACAGATGCGTTAATGATGGCAAAGGCAAACCTTGAAGTTGATGTGTGTTTAGCAACAACATGAGACAGAGTACTTAGAAAAGGGAATGGTGGCTGGGGCACTAAGGTTATCTCCTACTGCCTGGGACAAAAAGAAAAAGAGGGAAAAAATAATATATGCTTTTAGACGCTAGAGCAGAGCAGATAGATAGTTTCCTCTTTAAGTGTATGCCCATAGAGAGAGACAGCCTCTCTCCAGAGCAAGGAAGCCCTACAGACTGCATGATAGGCTCCATAAACCAGTTAAGGCTATGTCCAAATTCAGGGCTTGAATGTGTAGCCCTTTAGGTCAGCAGTAAGAGTGGCATCAAGTGACACTGGCACTTGTAAAGATTTCTAGCATACTGAGACAGCTGTAAGGGAAAACCTGGTAGAAAAGCTATAAAGAGATAACATCATATCTTTACAAGTAGCTAACATATCCCATTAAATGAGCACTGAGAAGATATGAGTTTTCTCATTAACTAGGCATGAAGTTTTCCCTGGTGCTCCCCTAACTCTTTAAGTTATGTTATCTCTTCCAAAAGCAACAGAATGTCTTTGGTTACTTGTGGGACTCCTACTACCCACCTTAATTATGGCAGGGAACTCTGAACTGTCAGAGGCTATAATTACAAATTCCCATTTTCACAAACAGGTTTCAGTAAGGAAATTACTGGAATCAAGCAGAACTCTTTCATTTAGCAGAGTGAAATGTATAAAAAACAAATCTCTGAAACGCATTTTCTGCAGGACTTCCTTTTTAAAGGCCAGCTGGACTGTATCACTTCCAGTGATCAGCAAAGGCAGAGAAGAGAGGGAACTAAACATTTCACAGCTCCAAAAGGACAGGCAAACAAGAAGTCACTTCCAAGACAGGTACTGAACATCTTTACACTTTGACCTCAATATGATTCTAATGCACGTTTGACTGAAAAATGGCAGAAGTGTTTCACCTTTTCTTTATAGAAGTCAAGCCCCAGCATTCCGATTTTAGGAGTTTCGTAGCCCAGAGCTCACAGCTCCATTCTGAACACAAGCATGTCAAGCAGCAGCGAAAATTATCTCCCTGTTAATTAAACTTTGCAGCAAGAGTAATGCTACTGCGATACTGAGTAAGTGCTGAAGACAATCTAGCATAGAATATTTTACAGTCTGATTAGAAATAACCTTTTTAGGACCTGCTTTACTAGATGAGGCTGACACTCCACCTAGTCAACTAGCGAGGCTTTGACAATGGCCTGGGCTGAAATTTTCAGAGGTTTGTACTTGCCATCTTGTTATATGTAGTTGTGAGCCGGTGAAGGAAGTATGCTATTACTTCACAACCCCAGTTAATCATCTTATGCTTTGGAGCAAAAGCTACTGCCCACACATGCAAATTAGGCATGTTTTTGTCCAGATTCTGGAAAGCCCAACTTTCTCAGTCTCTTCATTGCTTGTTTTTTTCTATTAGGGTCTTCTGTGGTGTGAACAGAGATTTTCATAGACTAATGCCAAATTAATGGGAATGCCATCTCTGTTCATGAATTTGAATTTTATTGATGTTCAGTTTTATAAGGTTGCATTTTGGTTTACCATGAAGGCTAGAGTAGAGCACCGCATCCAAAGTCATGTGAAATCTCCCCATTTCTTCCTCCCTTCAGGGTTAAGCAACAGGGAGATATAGTTATCCGAAGGTCTAAGGAATCCCCAACGCCTTGCAAAAATCTGGGCTTCATAAAGCTAAGATGAATTTTCAGGACAGTGAGCAGGCTTGCCCATACGCCATGGCGTTGCCCTGAGATTCCTCTTGAGAAGATAACTGTATTTCAGGCCTAGGGAAATATTCCTTGCCAGAGAGCAGAGAAACCTGCCAGGTTTTCAGTGGGCTATAAATAGAAGAAGGAAGAAACTCTGTTTAAAGCTTGGAGGATCTTCAGCCTATTACTAGCAGATAGATTGCTAGCACAGCACACTCAGGGCCGTATCTATTAACCAGAGCTACAAAAATGAGAGGGTGGTAGGCTTATTCGAGTTTAAATCACAAATTAACTTGTCCCTTGTAGTCCTTTCATATAAGAAAGTGTCAGGCCAAAAAACACTTCTTCACTCTGTGTCTGTTACACCCTTTGCATTTCAAAGGGGACATAAGAAACAACAATCTTGGGAATTGCCTGTGGTACAGCAGAAGTAGGCATCACTCTGCATAGCCACAAATGTGAAACGAAGTGAAAAAAGTCTATGATGACTTAGAACAGCCTTCTCATTTTTACTCAAGAGCTATTACGCTGTTTTGGCCTTAGAAGATTGGTTTTCATTTGTCATGATTTTGAGAGTTTTTTTTGTTGTTGTCTGGTTGTATTTATAGAATCGAATGCTATCATCTTAACATTCATTAATAAACAGAAAAAATAGTTCTTCAGTAACATCCTGGAAACCTTGGATAGCATGTTTTGACAAACAAACCGTTTGCTGAAAACATAAGGTTAAGAAATAGAAGAGACAACAGGATTATTTTAGGAGTGAATATTGTGATTTTAGTGCGCACAAAGTAAAACTCTTTTTTTTTCCGTCAGAAAAGAGTGCAGGCAACTTAGTTTAACTGTCCACTTTCTCTAAATGGGGGGAGGGAAAATGAGAAAAAGACTTCATCCAGCCTCTTACTTCCATGCCTTTTTCCTCTTATATGCAATGTTTGCTTCTCTGTGAGCTTGGGAACACAAGAAAAGACCTTGCTCCTTCTTTTACTGATTTGTAGCCTTCAGCAGAGAAGGACCTTTCTCTTCCACTGCAGGGAGCAGAGGGAAAGTAGTCACATAGAAAGCAGAGATGTCAGATCCATCTGGACCCAAGACAGTTCTCACATTACACCCTCTAGCATGTAGGAGCCATCTCTCTCAGATACTGGCAAATGTGGGTCATCAGTGGTTTGGGTTGCATGCTAAATGAACACCTGACCCAAAACGTAGATTATCCGGATCATACTAAAGGGCCCACCTTTAGTCCCAACGCAGACACTGCTTGAGAATCAGACACTGATACGTCTATATTTGTGATAAGTAGCTAAACTCCCATTATAGCAGAGAGATCTAGTTGATACTGATCTCCATGAAGCCTAGGGAGCAGACAAGCTTTGTTGATAAGCTGAATCGTACCCTGGGCTCCCTAGACTATACCACGTAGGTTTTCTTTGACTATAAAGAGAACGTAGACACATAGCTCACACATAGACACACGAACTTAGATATCTTAGACTTGATCTGAATCTCAGCCCAGATGGTAGATACATTTTAAAAAGGGATATGCACCCTGTTCCTATCACAGACAGGATACCAAAGCTGAAGGCCTCTTTCTGGGGATCCTTAGTGTCTCTCTGCCCTTCTGGGAAACGCATGCTGTGCGCCCAGCTCAGAGGCAGCAAGTCAGATGGAGGAACTGCTCGGAGAACTGAGTGAGAGTTACGCTCTCCTTACCCCCGGCAGTGTCTGATGAGAGCCCAGAAATAGGTCACAAAGTATTTGTGCATTTGATGTTGCCAGGGAAAGCAAAACCTTGCCCTTTTAAGTGTATTCAGTGTTTTAGCACAGAGGATTAAAATCTTTTTCTCCATTTTGCTGTAAGTAGCCTTGACATCTAGCGGATATTTTTAACCCCATTACAGTGAGCTACAAAGCAAGCACAGTATCACAGATCTTGCTGCTGTGGTCCTGGGTCCTTCCCTGTGCCTATCCGTCAGGAAGCAGTTTGCTTGCAGCATGTGCCAATGCATGTATCCAGCCATTTTCCCTGTCCTTTAGTGTTCTTGTCACAGCCACAACTGTATAAATTAAAATGCCTGTTCCTCGTTTTACTGCCCTTGAGGTGATAAAAAATATTCCTGAAAGCGACGGTTTCACAACGACTGATTTCTTTTTTTTCCCCTCTGAGGGGCTGGAGGGGAGGTTGAGTGCCGGCACGCGGTGCCTCTGCAGTCCTCTCATGTGGAACAACCACTTTTTTGCTCAGCTGTTGCCATGGTGACTAAGCTGGACGGGTTGATCTGGCCCTGAAAGGTGCACAATACCAAGCAAGAAGTCCGTCAAGCGAGAGGATGGGAAAGAGAAAATGGGAGAAGGGAAGGATCTTTATTGTAATACTTTGTGGCCAATGTTTTCAGCTGGTGAATTTTCAAAATATAAGCCAGAAAAAGGCAATAGGTAATTTGTATTTTTCAGACTTAACCGTTGGTCTCAGTTATTTGGTTCTGTGGATTTCAAATACAGGCTGATGTCTATGTATTCTATAACACTAATATGCATACACAGTATCCTTGTAAGGTAAGTAGCTCACTCTTGTCTTAGATGCGTCCTTTTTGTAATACAGGTCCCACACAGTAACATACAACATGAATTTCCCTGCCAATTCCAGATCTTTATCCTGTTTCTGCCATTGGCTCAAAACCATGCTGCACGGGCATGAGCCAGAAAAAACTGCTTACCACTGCAAGAATTTGAAGGAATTTAAGTTCTTTCAAAATAATGAGTTATTAACCCACGTCACTGCTGCAGAATCATTGCAGTGGTGTCAGCCACTGATACGTCAATAAATAGCAATGAAGATGAGAAGTGGAAGTAAATTTGTGTCTGTAGAGGATTGTCCTTTGATAACACCTGCAACAAGTCTGAGTAATTGGATGAAAATAGAGTTGGTTGTTCTGACTTTGGCTCAACAGGAATGGAAGTAGAGGTTCTTAATTTTAGTTTCTGTCTCTAGTTAGAACTATTCACATGTTCATTATTTGGCTCAGGGATTTTAGCTTGTTCAATTGTTTTTCAAAGATATTTCCAGAGCAAGTAAAATCCTTTCACTAGTCAGGAGAGGAAGCAAGCACACAAACTTACGGATCAAAGGCTGCTAGCAAAAAGTTAAGCAGTAAGCTGATAGATTGCTCCACGTTGATCTGGTGGGTAGTCGGCATCCGTTTGTTGAGCTGGTAGAAAATAGTTGAAATCACAGCTTCGAGGCGAGCCACATTCAGCTCTAGGTTGGGATCCAAGTTGTTAAGGGCATTTTCTCGCAATGCTTCTATCACATTCCAAATGTCCACCAGGTGCACTAGGGTACAGCACACAAAGAGTCATCAGGGACACAAACTCCTGAAAACAACTGGGAAAAGACGTCATCGCATCCTACAATGACACAGACTATGCTTGAGAAATACTTAAATGAACAAAAGTATTTTCCATCGCTGAGATTTAAACTCCGAGAGAGCTGGGGAAAAGAGCAAAGGAAACTCAAATCTGTTAATAAGCAAACAATGTATTGATATTATGAGTTGTTAGGAGTATAGCTTCAGTTCAGGAAACCATTCCTCATTGTATAAAGTAGTCAAGCAAAAATCTATTACTTACTGAAATGAGTGGAAGGTAAGCATATGCTAATTGTTTTTCTGAACCATGATTCCATGAATACCCATTCAGAAATTACTCTTAGGTATTAATTTGCATAGCAGATGGGGCTTCCAGAAGAGCCTAGGAATACTAAGTGCTCAATATATACTGCCATGGGCTTTTTTGAAAATTCTTTTCAGCTATTTGCACCAAAAGCAAAATATTTTACGGAAAAAGAATTGTAATTGAGTCAGGGCAGGCAAGCTACATTTAAAAAAAGGACTTGTGATGAAGTGATCCTAAAGTCATATTTTGGTCTTCTAAATACAGTTACCAAGGGATTTGTTAAATCTCTTTCTCTAATAAAATCCTGGTCTAGGCAGAATTTCATGGGGGCTGTTTTTGCCTGGGAGGACAGCTTAAAGGACAATCTCTGCTCATCCCTCATATTGTATCCAAACAGAAATCCTACTTGCACAGCCTTGTTATTTTGACAGTATGATCAGCTTCCTACACATTGGCATTTCTAGAAGTGGTGGACCATGAAAAACATTAAAAAAACTATACTCATTCAAAATTTGGATTTAGTTCAAACCTGAACTCAAAGAATCTCTTCTATCTTGAGTATTACCTACTTTCCTACTAAACTGTCAATAAGAAACAAATTATGAGGTTCACAGTGCAAAATCTCTTTATTAGAGGAGAAAGTGCTGTATAGTTGTTATTACTTAGTGTGGTGCTGTGTCTTATGATGTATCAAGCATCACCTGAATCTCGGAGGAGATACATTTTATTGTGGACAGATGAATTTAATTCTAATCTTTATCATTATATTTTTACTTGCTTGGTTTGCAGGCAGTGTCTTGAAGGCTGCAATGGGGCATGGTGATCTTGTGGCAGAGAAAGGTAAGCTGATACTAGCTAGAAAAATGAAACTAGATATACTGTCTTTTTACTTAGTCTACAATTTTTCCCTAGGATTCCCTAGGTATGTCTGCCTTAGGAAAAAAGATAATCTCTAATGCCCTGCTACTGCACGTATAGGCTGCAGTGCCCATGAAGGAAGATACAGCTTGCAGGTGAGTGGCGACAGCAACAGCAACTGCTTTTGGCATTAGACCTGGCACTTTTCTACTTCTTCTTACTATTCATTAGCAAATAACTGGGAAAAATTGCAAGATGCAGTTCCACAGTGACACCTAATTGTTTGTTTGGCCTTTGTATTAAAAGTAAACTTCTACACGTAACCTTGTATACTGTCAGGAGAACGTCTTAAGAGTCTTCTCCTCAATTAAGCCAGTTAGGTGAAGCACACAGCCTCGGAACTCTTCCCTTCTTCCAGTCTAGGGGAAGAGCATCTTCCCAGTAAAAATTCTGGCGTAGACCTCAGATCCTTTACTGCAGTCATTCCCATTCCTAGTCAATCAAATGCTTTGCACTGTCAAGTTGTCTCTAAGGTAATCTGGGTAAACGGGAGAGGAACGGTTCAAGAGAAGACAGCCTGCCCGTAATAACTGACCCTTTTGAAGAAGCTTCCCCACATGGCCAGTAAACAAGCTCAAAGGATAGACTAGGTAGGGAACAAGAGAAGTCATGAGAAACCAGGTCATCGTGTGGTCCTGGAGAAGAGAATTAATGAGTGTTTCCTACTCAGAACAACCTGGGGAAGGCAATCAAGCAAGAAATACAAAACTATACGCCAAAGATGCAGCAACACGCCTGGAACATGTGCACATATTTTGATATTTTGTGGTCTCTTAAGAGGGGCAGGGTAGGCAGAAAACAGAAGGCTAAGCATGGTGTTTCAGGCAAGTTCTAGCTGCAACTGGCTCTGAGGATGATCCCTCTGGTAATTCAGACTAAGTGGATCAAGGAGCAGGAGCTTCCACCAACAGTTTCACCAGGCTGGTTTCTGGGTGTTAGGGTACGTGTGCAGATGCTCAAACGTGACCTGTAGCTATACTCAAAAAATAACAACATAAGAAATCACGTGGCATTACAGATAGCAAAAAGGAAGAAATAACTAGGCAGAGAGCTATCCCCGACGTAAGGCTACACTAAGAAGATAGCAATCTTAGAAACAGGATCAATGGGGGTACTAGCTTAATGGAATTGCTAACCAAGGTGGAAATTACCAGGGCAACAATATCACAAATATCAAATAAGGATGTAGAATCAGCAAAATCAGAACCAATTGGAAAAGAATAAACAGGGACAGGCTGTTTATCTGGGAGTGGATGAGGGTGGTAAAGGGGAAGAACATGGGAAGGAAAAAAGGGAATATAAAGGACAACAACTCTTGTCATCAGGGCTGTTCAGGGGTACCTTGCAAGCAGCCCTGAACCTGATTCAGCGCAGAGGGACAAAATAGTAAGGCTGTTGTTCTTATCATATGTGTGTTTGATTTACTTCTGCAGTCCGGGGGAGCAGCAAAGGTTTCCCTAGCATTGACAAGGGAACATCCAGGGAGGATGAACGAGACATTTGGACTCCCTAACAGTGACAATGTCACACAGCAATTTCACTTTAATCACTATACTCTAGTAGTAAAAAAATACTTGAATAACAGAGCATGGAGGAAAATGCCTGGCATAAGGAGTGAAGCTGAAGTGGGGCTTGGTGTCTTTATTCTTCACATGATCCAGTACTGATTTTAAGCAGCTGTCTGATTTTCACGGGTTTCTTCTTTTCCCAATAATATTGTATTTTTCAGAAAACAGTCATATCCAGAGTTAGTTTTGATGCTGGTCCTCGGAAGGGAGATATCCAGAGGCTAGCAGAGGGGGCTAATAATATCAGTGCACCAACACATTTCAGGGAAAAAAATATTGGCTATAGTGTTAACTTTAACCTGAGAGCCTCACAGGCTATTCTGATATTCATTGGTATGCCACACAGACAGGGCACAAGCCTAAGAAAATTACTTATTGGAAATTATATTCCAGTGACAGTCCCCCACCCACAGTAAAACATTAGTCTTGAGGAACTGCTGTGCATTTGTACTACAAATAATTTTACTTGGACTTTTTTTTCAGAAACACTTTGGTTCCACTTGAAGCTGAATAAACAACAATCCTACTTCATATTTCACATTTTAGTCATGAATTTCAAACTTCTTTACAGAGGCTGGAAAGTAGTACTTTCTGTAGCAGAAAATGAAAGAGGGACAAAACCCAGGCTTTTAAACAAGATCTGCTAATTTTCAATATATTTGCTTAAATGAATGGTTAAAATTAACAAGGACAGTTTGTTACACTGCTCTATAGAGAACTCAAGTCTCTGGGCTTTATTTAAGTAAGTCAGTTGTCATAGACAAGAATTAACTTGACCTAAACTTGGATGTCAAAAATTAGGTATCTAGTGTCATCTGGTGCTCAACGCTCCCTCTAACATTAATGAAAGAAAAGGGCATCTTCCAGCAGCTGTTTGGATACAAGTGGGATGAACAGTTCCTCAAAAGTACCCCTATTACGTTATTGACCACAGAGAAAGCCTGAAGTCTAAAGCCTAAAGCAACAAGTTTACATGATATATATAACCTCAGGTCTAACATTAACCAAGATGAATCCCACTCCTTGTTCTTTAAAGATTAAGAAAAGCTGTCTTTTCTGTTCTGACTACTACATGGCCTAGAATAATTTAGGGTTTTTGTGAAATATGTATAATAAATACTGTAATTTGTAAGAAGAGCTATCAGATCATGTCATAGTCTCAGCCTCTTATTCCGAATATCTTGGTCTCGTGCAGATTGCAAATAGATGTAGTGCCCTAGCGACCACTCAGAATCCAATTTTTTTAAACGTTTACTTACATAATAAGCAGGCTCTTACATACTGCACTATGTTGCAAAGTCAACCTACCAACAGTGGGAAAAGGCAGAGGAAAACATGGGCCCTGCAAACTCTACTCTATTCGTTTGTACTATTAGGAATTTACACCAGTTTTAATCTACAGCTACCTTGAGCTTTGCACTTCTTATTCAAATGTAATAACAGAACATCAACTCTGCAAACTTCGCACAAGTTTACATTCCTCTCATTTTAATTTCCATCCTCTCTGCTACCCATTTTCTACAGTATCTGCTATGGTCATTTATTTATTTATCCACTCTTGAGATTATCTTAATCTCACTGCAGAAGGTATTTCCTCTTGCTTTGTTTGCCCATGTAATTCAGTAAAACTTGACTCTAATTTCTATGATGGTTACAAGAAGAGTTTACAGTACAACTAGCTTACAGATGCAAGAGAACTTCCTCACGCCTAAAACCTGCATAAATTCCTTCAACACAATCAAACTTAACAAGTTTGTTCTTAATTTTTTGTTGCTGCTGCTTTGACTGCTTTTGCTGCCTCAGCCACGTTTCCCTCTCAAAAGGGAATTACTTCTCAATATGAAAAAGATGCCTGTTCTGAAATGGCTCTCTAAAACTGTAGAAATCTATCAGTTGTTTTTCAGTGGAACAGGATGATCAGGAGAAAAGCTGCTTCTATCGAGCATCTGCACATAAAGCAATTCAAAATTATATAGCACAGCCCATCTTTGAGGACCCTTCAGAAAGGCCTTGCACTCTGTAAATAGCAGAGATAGATATCCCTCATTTGCCTGCTGTCTGAAAAAAATGTAGATGACTTTCACAGGCAACTGCTAAGATACACATTTCCCCTTAGATTATCTGTTACGTGATGCAAGTCATGGCTAAGATAAATATCTGCATTATTAGATCT